GTGGAACAGAACTGAGAACACAGAAATGGACCCAAGGCAATATGCTCAATTAATATTTGAGAAAGGTGGCAAGAGCATACAGTGGAGCAAAGACAGCCTCTTTAATAAATGGTGTTTGGAAAATTGGACAGCTACATGCAAAAAAATGAAACTAGACCATCAACTTACACCCTATACAAGAATAAACTCAAAATGGATAAAAGACTTAAATGTGACCCATGAATCCATAAAAATTCTAGAAGAAAATGTAGGCAACAAAATTTCGGACATCATACACAGCAGAATTTTCACTGATACATCACCTAAGGCCACAGAAACAAAGGAGAAAATGAACACATGGGACTACATCAAACTAAAAAGCTTCTGCAGAGCAAAAGAAATAACCATCAAAATGGAAAGGCAACCCACTGTATGGGAGAACATCATTGCCAATGATACACCAGATAAGGGGTTAATTTCCAAAATATATAGAGTCCTCATACAACTCAACAAGAGAAAGACAAAGAACCCAATTAAAAAATGGGCAGAGGAGCTGCATAGACACCTCTCCAAACAGAACATACAAATAGCCAAGAGATGCTCAACATCACTAATCATCAGAAAGATGCAAATTAAAACAATGAGGTATCACCTCACACCTGTCAGAATGGCCGCCATCAACAAATCATCAAACAACAAGTGTTGGCGAGGGTGTGGAGAAAAGGGGATTCTAGTGCACTGCTGGTGGGAATGCAGACTGGTGCAGCCACTATGGAAAATAATATGGTGTTACCTCAAAAAATTAAAAATTGAACTTCCATTTGACCCAGTCATTCAACGTCTAGGAATATACCCTAAGAAGCCTGAAATACCAATCAGAAAGAATATATGTACCCCCATGTTCATAGCAGCACTATTTACAATAGCTAAGATCTGGAAACAGCCCAAGTGTCCATCAGTAAACAAATGGATAAAAAAACTGTGGTACATATACACAATGGAGTACTATGCAGCTGTAAGAAAGAAAGATCTCTGATCCTTTGAGAAGACATGGAGGGACACGGAAAGTATTATCCTAAGCAAAACAAGCCAAGCAGAAAAAAAAACAAATACCACAGGATCTCACTTATTTGTGGAATATAATGAACATAACAGTCTGAGGAATAGGGCAGACCCAGATACGTGGAAGTAGGGTACAGACTGACAACCCTCAGAAGAGGGCTTGGGTGGGGTGGGGGGGGAGATAAACCACAGAAGAGGGCATGGTGGGGGGAGATAAACCACAGAACTTATATGCATGTACGCATAACCAATGGACATGAACAACAAAGCCGGGGACGGGGTGGCAGGGATGGGGAGGAGGTTGTCAATGGGGTAAAAAAAGGAGAAACATCTGTAACAAAAATAAAATTAAAAAAATAAATAAATAAAAGGCAATTCAAGAGTGTAAACTGCACAAGAGCAAAATACTTACTTCTCTTACTCACTGCTATATTCCCAGTCTTGAGAATAAGGCTTGGAACACAGTAAATGCTCATGAAATAGTTGTTTAATCAATGAGTGATCTTACCCCTCCCTTAAAAATCCTCATTGGCTGCTCCTAGAATTTCAGGCTAGACCTCAAACTCCTTGATAGAGGGGCCTCAATGTCCTGGACATGCCTGTCTTTTCAGTATATTCTTCTGGGGGCTCCCCAGGTGTGCCATAGGCATAGCCCATCCTAAAACCATATTGAATTCCCAGAACAAGCTATGCTCCACATTCTCTCAAATTCTCATGCCTTGTTCGGTTGGCCTCCAATGATTCCTCCTCATCTTTCACTAACTCCTAATCACCTTCAACACTTGGTTCAAGCTGCACGGCCTCTAGGAGTCGCTCTTGATGAGGGCCCCTTGGGCTGAGTTAGGCGCCTCCTGAATGCTCTCACAGTTCTCTGCACTCCATGCTCCCAGTCCTGACCACCATGCGTTGTAATCGTGTTCCCCCTACAGACTGTGAATTCTTTGAGGCCAGAGATTGCTTCTTTTATGACACAGTGGATTCTAATGAATGAAGAATTGTGAGAATTAAAAAGATATTATATAGGATATGCTTAGCACATAGTAGCCAGTCAGTAATACCCTCTTTCCAATGAAAGCTACCTATCACTGTCCTGAGATTTCTATCTGAAGCAGTTCTTAAAAAGGGGACTTAAGCTATTGAGCCACAATTACTTTTATGCTTAAAAAGGTTTTATGATACAATTCCTCAACCAAAGTTAACATCATTAATAATCACACAAGATACAGCCTGTGCCTCCTAATACTATGTACTCAGGACTCAGCATTGCTTCTGAAGTATTTCTACCACAACGCACAACCTGAACCGAACAGGACACACCACACAAGTCCAAACTGAAGGATACTCTATAATATAAATGGCCTGTATCCTTTAAAAATGTCAATGTTATGAAAGACCAACACAAAGTAAGGCTGAAGAACCATTACAGATTCAAGGAGGCTAATGAGACATAAAAACTATGTGTGATCGGGATTGAATCCTGCACCAGGTCAATAAAATACCATAATGATACCACTGGGACAACTGGCAAAATTTTAATGAGAAGTGTAGATTAGATAATAGCATTACACTATTCCTTTGAAGTATTTAGGGGTAAAGAGGAGTGATTCAATGCAACTACATATGTAAGAGTGTGTACATATAAACATATACACACATATGTGTACATATCTAGGAGAATGAATAGAAATGATAAAGTCTAGCAAAGTGCTAACAATAGGTGATCATGGTGAAGAGCATATGCAGGAGTTCTTTGTACCACTGACGCAATCTTTAAAGAAAAAAGTTCCATGACTCATATCAAATGATTTGCTGAAGCAGCACACAGACACACCGGTATAATCATTAGAAAGTGCTATCTTTCCCCATTGTGATGACCTCTTGAGTTTTGTTCCTATGTTTATACCTTATTTTACTATATTTGATATAAAATTTAACAATACTAAATTTCATCTATTAATATAAGATACTGGTCAGTACTTTCTACAAAAGCAGAATTTTTAAAAGCACATGGGAGCTGATTAATGGCTACTGAGGCATAAGCATTGCTTGGAGCAGATGCTGGCTTTAAACGACCTTCACACATCTGAGATGTCATCTAAAACCATGATATGACATTACATTTTAGAATGGCAGTAAAGCTGTGTTAACTTGTAGCAAAGTAATACAAGTTACTTTCCCAGAAGCAATAAGACAAAAAAATCCCTCCAAAGGAAAAATACATGTGTACATTAGAATTAGTTAAATGGATTAGAGGAATAATGGTTCTTTGTGAAATCAAAGTTCTTTATTCTACCTTAGCTAAGGGCAAGGTACAATTCCATGAGACGATATCAATGTTGCCAATAGTCATATGGTTCTGCTGTAGGTCTAATATAGGATTTCTCAACCTCAGCACTATTGACGTTTTGGGCCAGAGAGTTCTTTGTTGTGGGTTCTGTGCACTGAACCTGACCTCTGCCCACTAGATGCCAGCAGCAGTCCCTTCTAGCGTGACAAGCAAAAATGTCTTCAGATATTGCCAAATGGTCCTTGGGGGACAAAATCGCCCATACATGAGAAACACTGGTCTAAGAGGGTATAATTTAGATAACATTTTCCCATACTTTTAGATGATAAACACAATATTTACAAATAAAATGGTCTCTCTAGTAGCTATAGAATAAAATCACGTGAAATCAATTCCTTATAATAAATCACTTTCTGCATATATACTTCCTCTTGGTTCTGTTTCTCTGGAAAATCCTGACCAATACAAATGGCTATAAAGCTAATCCCACACAAGGGACCTATTTCCCATTGATTTCTATCATCAAAATTTTCTAATAGAGGTAGAACATTTTCTATTCAATAGTCTGATAAATAATTTAACAATTTCAGATTTGATAAAGCAAAACAATTAAATTGAACTAAATGCTATAATTAGAAATATTCAGGCAACCATATGCAAAATTTCTTCCTTAATTTATCAATTTTGAGCAAAAACGATTCCATGTATCAGGATGCTATAGGTTAGATGACGTTATTATCGTTAATAATTATAAAAATGACAATAATAAAACTTTGGACAGATTAAGTGTTCTGTTTGTATTTATCAATCACAGAAACAGAATTTCTCTATGGAGAATCTGTGACAACTAAAACATCTGTTCTAAGGGTTTGTTCTGCAGAGAGATTAAACTGAAATTTTTAAGAATTGAAAGAAGTATTGCAATTCTTACCAATGAAGTAGAGATTCTAGAAAAAAAGTACAATTAACCATTCCAAGAAAATTAATGCAGATGAACAGAAAAAGCTCGCACTTTTCACTTTACTTACATTTACTTTATAAAACCGTTATTCCTCCCCTTACAATAAAAATGCTCTGGTTAAGAGGCATACTGCCCACATAAAGTATCATTTTCTTTTCGAAGTTTCAATTTACATACTACTTTTCAGCAGTGCGCTACAAAACATGCAAAATATACCTATAGGAGGTTAGTTACCTTCTAAAAAGGTTTAAATTTTCAGCAGAAATGAAATAACTTGAACAGTTTATCAGTAGCCATAGTTAGATATGAAGAGTCTATAAATTCACATTCACATGTGATTATAGTTTAAAATGCCATCTCACATTTTGAATTCTTTAAAGTCCAGATTTGATTTAATACATCCTTGAATAATGGTTCTGAAAAGGAGTCAGGGAAGTCAACTGTTTTTAGCAAGTACCTTTTGGAGCTATTGAATGTTAGGTACTCTTAACATGTAAGCAAATATAATGCTTAGATGTTATAGCCCTTTACATAATAAAACTGTAAACAAAATTTTCTTATACTAAATGATTACTTGAATAGTTATGATAATACATTAAATTTCTCCCAGAAATATTTTTGCCTTAAGATGTTCATATATGAGGACTGATATACTAAGAAGGAAAAGCAACTTTATTTCAGAATATTCCTAATTGGTATCAAGTTACTGACCTGCTTGATATTCTTGGAGACAGGACCTGGAATAATACACTCATCACTGTCAGAAGCTGAGCTGTCTTCTTCATCTGTTACAAAATAAAATGTTAGTGGTTTAAATCTATTAAGCCAGTTATATTTACATCTTGTGAAATGAAGAGAAAGAACAATGTGATAATCATATGTGAACCTCTTTAACAGAAAAGATATTTACATTTACATTACATTTTTGAATAAAGGAAAAATTACTGAAAATTCCAAATTTAGTTTTAGTAGAAACAAAAGAAATAAAAATATAGCTTGGTGTAGTATACACCTAAAATATATATATATTTTATCCTCATTCGAGGACATTTTTCCATTTTTTGTACAGACAGAGTGGGAGGGAGAGAGAGGAAGAGAGAGAGAGGGAAACATTGATGTGAAAGGGACACATCGAGTGGCTGCCACCCGCACGACCAACCAGGGCCAGGGACAAACTGCAACCGAGGTACATGCCCTTAGCGGGAACCGAACCCAGGTCTCTCCAGACCACAGGTGGACGCTCTAACCGCTGAGCCAAACTGGCCAGGGCTAAAAAATATATTTTTAAAGAGGACAGGGTAATAGATGTTTGCCAAAAGCCTAACCAATAATATTGTGTAAGAATCAAGTTATTCTTACTATTTAAAAACATTTTTAGAAGTTTTATAGCTTTATTGTGATAAAATTGACATCCAATAAACCACGCACATTTAAAGTGCAAAATTTGATCTTTTTACATATATAATCCTGTGAAAGCATCACCAAAATTAAGATTATAAACATACCCATCACCCCCAAAAGATCCCTTATGCCTCTTTGTAATCTCTTCCCCTCTTCGTCTCTCTTCTCACTTGTTCTTCCCCAGTCAACAACTTAAAATGTTTTGTCACTACAGATTAAATGCCTTTTCTACATATTTATATCAGTCAAATCATATTGTAAGTTGTTTCTTTTGGGGGTCTGAGTTCTTAGTTTTAATTGTTTTTTAATTCTCACCCTAGGATATTTTTAACATCTTCAGACAGAGTGGAAGGAAGGGAAGAAGGGCGGAGAGATAAAAATATTAGCATGGGAGAGATACACTGATTGGTTGCCTCCCACGCAGCCTGACCAGGGCTGGGGAAGAACTGCAACCAAAGTACGTGCCCCTGGCCCGAATCGAATCTGCGACTCTTTGGTCCACGGGCTGACGCTCTAACCACTGAGAAAACTGGTCTTAGTTTTAATTTTTAAAAATTCAAGTCCTCCAGCCCTGAGCAGTGGTTAGAGCGTCGGCCCATGGACTTATGAGTCACGGGTTTGATTCCGGTCAAGGGCACGTACCTTGGTTGTAGTTCATCCCCAGCCCTGGTTGGGGTCGTGCAGGAGGCAACCAGTCAACATCTCTCTCTCACATTGATGTTCCTCCCCCCCCCCCAACCTCTCTCTCTACCCCCTCTCCCCTCCCTTCCACTCTATCTGAAGATAAATGGAAAAATATCCTCGGGTGAGGATAAAAAAAAATTCAAGTCCTCCAGACTAATCCAGATGATAGCACTGAACCCGAAGAGAATATAAAGCCACTTAATACATAAATTGGGAACATGGTCAGCAATAATTGCATTCTCTTGTGGCACCCAAGTGGAAATGAGAGAGATGAACAATTCCACCTGATCATAGCTGACTAGACTGAACTATACCCATCGTTTCTGTCGAGAAACAGGTATCACGAAGTAGCTCTAAATGAAGATTTAATTATGAAATGAAGATGTTCTACGAGGCATACTATTAAATCAAGCTAACAGTTAAATAAGTAATGTCAATTCAAAAAAGACAGTCACCTTCGGGTTCCAATTCCTCAGTTATTTCTGTTTCGTCTTCAGAAGAAGTCACACTTGGCTCTGCAAGCTGGCCCTGGGACAGCAGAGACACGTCACCGCCTCCCCACTGCCGCGTGTTCCCAGTGCTCCCGCTCCGCTTGCCTGCGCTGCCCTCCTGAGACGCCTGGAGAGAGGACAGCACACTGACATCAGCATCACTGATGACATCACATTGGCAGCAGTTTTTCTGTAGCATTTGAATAATAAAGCATGTAAACCTGAGACTTAAATACACAGACATGCAATAGGTATGATTAATTCTAAAATAATCGCTTAAATTGTACAAATAAAAATATGTAAATAAAAATCTAATTACAAAGAATAAAAACATTAATTTCAAAATAAATTTTACATTAACTCACATATCTATTTTATATTATGCTAATATCAGTATAACTGTAGTTGTTACACTTGCCAGATTTTTTATCTTTCTATCCCGAGGAAGACTATACAAAAACAAGATCAATGCTATGATTTCCTGATCCATGTCAATACAAAGACAAAGTCCTTAAGAACCAAATTAAAGCCCTGGCCAGTTTGGCTCAGCGGTTAGAGCGTCCGCCTGCGGTCCGGAGAGACCCGGGTTCGGTTCCCGCTAAGGGCGCGTACTTCGGTTGCAAGTTTGTCCCCGGCCCTGGTTGGTCGTGCGGGTGGCAGCCACTCGATGTGTCCCTTCACGTCGATGTTTCCCTCTCTCTCTCTTCCTCTCTCTCCCTCCCACTCTGTCTGTACAAAAATAAAAAAAAAAATAAAAATAAAAAATATAAAAAAAAAAAAGAACCAAATTAAATATTTTGAAACAGTTTTAATGCAAATACATACCTCAAAAATATGTGAAACAGCTGGCATACTAATATCTATTTCTGGTGTATGCTGCACTTCTGGTGAAATTTCCTTCCTGTCCTCAGGAGGAGTAGAAGTCTCCTTATATTAATGTAAAAACATGCATGTATGTTATTTTAGATTATTACTAAATCCAAAATCATTCTAAGACTTTTACATATATAGGTATATATATATAATATATAACGATACTAATAAAAATCAGGAGCAAATCTAGCAGCTACCCACAGGACAATGAAGTAGTGCATTTCAGTAAAATGACTGACGTCCGTCATGGTCTGTATGTGCAATTTAAGAACTACAGGCATATTTCATAGAAACATTGATTATAATCTCAAAATGTGAAAACAATGCAAATGTCCAACTGCACATTAACTATATAAATATGTCACATCCAATACTGACACTGAAGAGAGTATACAATATACTGTTGAGTAAAAAAGACAGTTACACAATATATATAATTGCATACTGTTGTTAAAAAACAAATTTGCAAACAAACAAATATGCATGTACATTTCCACAGTAAAAAGTATAAAAGGAACTTCATCAAAATTTTATCTCTGATATAGATTTGGGAAAATTGAATTTTGCTATTTTTATTTATTTTCCTTTTTAACTCATCTTTATTGTTGACTGTATTACAGATGTCCCCCCCTTTTCCCCATCGACTCCCTCCTCCCCAATCCTGCCCCCTCCTGCCTTCCCTGCACTACGGTTGGTGTCCACTGGTTATGCATATATGCATAGAAGTTCTCTGGTTTATCTCTTCCCCCCCTCACTCCCTCCTTTCCCTTTGAGGTTCATCAGTCTAACCACCAATTTGTACTTCTTAATTCCTTCATCTTTTTCACACATCCCTCCAGCCACTGTGTATCTGACAAGCAACAAAAAGTTCTCTGTATCTATGAGACTGTTTCTGTTCTGCTTGCTCATTTTGTTTGTAGATTCAATTTTTGATTTATTTCCATTTTATTGTTCATATTTTTGTTCTTCTTCTCCTTCAAGAACCCTGGCCAGTTTGGCTCAGTGGTTAGAGTGTTGGCCCGCGGACCAGAGAGACCTGGGTTCGGTTCCCACAAAGGGCATGTCCCTCAGTTTGTCCCCAGCCCCGGTTGGGGTTATGTGAGTGGCAACCAGTTGATGTGTTCCTCTCACATCGATGTTTCTATCTCTCTCTTCCTCCCTCCCTCTCTCCCTCCCGCTCTATCTGAAGATGAAAGCAAAATCCTCAGGTGAAGATTTAAAAAAAATATATATATACATATATATATATTTAGCCCTGGCCAGTTTGGCTCAGCGGTTAGAGCGTCAGCCTGTGGTCCAGAGAGACCCGGGTTCGGTTCCTGCTAAGGGCACGTTCCTCAGTTGCAGTTTGTCCCTGGCCCTGGTTGGGTCGTGTGGGTAGCAACCACTCGATGTGTCCCTTTCAGGTTGATGTTTCTCTCCCCCCCCCCGCCCCTCCACTCCATCTAAACAAAAAATGGAAAAATGTCCTCAGGTGAGGATTAAAAAAAAAAAAGAAAAGAAAACATTTCATATAATACTGGTTTGGTGGTGATGAACTCCTTTAGCTTTTTTCTTGTCTGGGAAACTCTTGATATGTCCATTGTTTCTAAATGATTGCTATGCTGGATAGAGTAATCTTGGTTGTAGGTCATTGTTTTTCATCACCTTGAATATCTCTTGCCACTCCTTTCTGGCCTGCAAAGTTTCTTTAGAGAAGTCAGCTGACAGTCTTATGAGAGCTCCTTTTTAGGTAACTAACTGCTTTTCTCTTGCTGCTTTTAAGATTCTCTTTGTCTTTAACCTTTGGCATTTTGATGATGATGTGTCTTGATGTGGCCTCTTTGGGTTCATCTTGTTTCGGACTCTCTATGCTTCCTGGACTTGTATGTCTGTTTCTTTCATCAAGTTAGTTAAGCTTTCTGTCACTATATTTACAAATAGGTTTTTAATTTCTTGCTCTCTCTCTTCTCCTTCTGGCACCCCTATGATGCAAATGTTGGTATGTTTGAAGTTGTTCCAGAGGTTCCTTACACTGTCCTCATTTTTTTTGGATTCTTTTTTATTTTTGCTGTTCTGATTGGGTGTTTTCTGCTTCCTTATATTCCAAATCGATAGTTTGCTTCTTGGCTTTACCTACTCTACTATTGATTCCCTGTAAATTATTCTTTATTTCAGTTAGTGCATCCTTCATTTATGATTGGTCCTTTTTTATGTTGTTGATGTTCTCACTAAGTTCCCTGAAGGTTTCCTTAAGTTCCTTGAAGGTCTCACTAAGTTCCTTGAAGGTCTCACTAAGTTCCTTGAGCAACCTTACAACCAGTGTTTTGAACTCTGCATCTGATTGATTGCTTATTTCCATTTTGTTTAGTTCTTTTCCTGGAGTTTTGTTCATTTCTTTCATTTGGGATGTGTTTCTTTGTCTCTTCATTTTGGCTGCTTCCCTGTGATTGTTTCTATGTATTAGGTAGAGTTGCTATGTCTCCTAGGCTTCATAGGGTGGCCTGTTGTTGTAGGTGTCTAGTCAAACAGGTGGTGGCTGCACTGGGACTGGGCAGTATGGAGACAAGGTGAGCATTCCTAGTGCTACCAGAAGGGCCACAGTTCACTGACACAACTATTCACTGCCCTGTATGGACAATTGTAGAACCACTTCCAATTCCCAGCACTTGTTCATTTTCTGTGTTTATAGCAGCACTATTCACAACGGCCAAGATCTGGAAACAGCCCAGGTGTCCATCAGCAGATGAGTGAATAAAAAAGCTGTGGTACATGTACTCAGTGGCGTCTGCACCCCGCGGCCTGCAAGCTCTTGGGCTCTTCGGCCTGAGACATTGCGGAGGGGCCAGAAGGTGCAGTTGGCTTCCCCACCTCGGGTCCTTGTCCAGCACTCACCGTGGCCACGCTTTGTTGCTTATTTTTATTTTCTAACATTTCTATAATTATAAATTAATCATGTAATTAAAAGTTGTACATGCTAAATTAGTTACATGATTTCTATCAATTTACAGTCAACCATTTTTCCATGGTTCATAAACTGATGTTTATTGTTAAAATATAGTTTATCATGCTTTAAAAATTTTTATTGATTGATTTGAGAGAGAAAGGGAGAGAGGAGAGGGACAGAAAGAGAGAGAGAGAGACATCAATTTGCTGTTCCACTTATTTATGCATTCATTGGTTGATTCTTGTATGTGTCCTGACCAGAGACTGAACCTGCAACCTTGGCGTATGAGGACAATGTTCTAACCAACTGAGCTACCCAGCCATGGCTATCATTTTGGCTATTCTATTCTATTTTTCTTTATTGATTTTCAGAGAGAGAGAAAGGGAGCAGAAGAGAGAGATAGAAACATCAATTGGTCACCTCCTGCATGTCCCCCACTAGGGATCGGGCCCACAACTGGGGCATGTGCCCTACCTGGGAATCAAACTGGTGACTTCTTGGTGCACGGGTTGATGCTCAACCTCTGAGCCACTCCAGTCGGGCTATCATTTTGGTTCAGTGGTTAGAGCATTGGCCTGTGGTCCAGAGAGACCCGGGTTCGGTTCCCACTAAGGGCATGTAACTCGGTTGCAGTTTGTCCCCAGCCCTGGTTGGGTTGTGCAGGTGGCAGCCACTCGATGAGTCCCTTTCATGTCAATATTTCTCTCTCTCTCTCCCTCCCACTCTATCTGAACAAAAAAACAAACAAACAAAAACAACAACTACAAAAATGTCCTTGGGTGAGGATAATAAATAAATAAATAAATAAATAAAAGGAAAAATGCCCAATGTAGAAAATGCAAAAGTTAAACAAGAAAACATAAAAAGAAATCAATATAAATCCATATTCCTATTATCTAATGATAATATCTACTAATAAGCAGTTATATTTCTATTTCTTTATAATTGATTTTTAATGCAAATAAAAAATGTTGGTTATATAGTGATAATTATTTTGTAAATGTAATATATCCTGTTATATTAAAAATTTTAACATTGTAACATAAAAGTTTCTCCTGATATGAAACTTTGGGTAAACATCATTTTTTTTAAAGCAGAAAAAGCAAATATAAACTTCATTAGGCCAGTGAACTATAGAGTAGAAAGAATCCTATAAAATACATAATATCCAGAGACATAGAGGTTGTAACTATTTGCTGACTGGTTTTGCTATTATACCATACTATAATGATGTAGGTAGTATCTCTTTTACTGATAAAAAAACTAAGCTATGGTGATTAGTATATAAAATATTTTCCAATGTATTACCTTAATTTAACCTCACAACAACTACGCAATAATTCACATCAACATCTTTTTAAGAAAATACAAACTCAGTAACAACATAATAGTACTTTGAGAGGATGTATCATTATTCAGATCAAGGAGTAAGAACAGCACACACAATGCCAAGTTACAAAGCTAATGTTCTAGAAGAACAAGAAGCATTTAGTCACCCAATTTTCATTTAAATCAGGTAGGGTATACTACACCCATAACATTTATTTCCAATATTTGTTATAGGAAAAAAAACCACAGTATTTTCAGTGTTTACTACTTACAGAATTCTGATGTGGTGTGACATCATCTACGAAAGACACCTTCTTCTCCACAGCTGTTAAACGCTGTCGTGGTTTAGGTATCGGTGCCTAAGATAAACCAATATGACAAACTGAGTATAAAGAACATCTATTTTAGACAAAGCTTCAGCTATTTTTTTGTGTTTTTGTGTCTATTTTTACAAGAAATTCAAAGTCACTGTTACTCACTATAACTAATGTGCTTACAGAGGATGTTGGAGGTAGTCTTTGAGCAACTTCTAAATCTTCCTTCTGTATGAAATTTCCTAGGTCTTCAGATGTTATGGATTCATTTGGTGGAAGGTAAGCAAATTTCCATTTCAATATAACATGAATGGTTCCTGAAGGATGCTTTTTATGATCTGTTAACTCAAATATTCCTGTCAAATCATAAAAATATAATTTTAATTAATGCTAGAGTAAAGTTTTATTACCAGAATAATTAAGGAGAACTACCCACAACTTAAAAAATAATTCTGGCTTTCACTCACAACCCAAATGTCTTAGAGAATAAAATAAAGACAAAAGGATATATGATAGGTTCATCTCTCAAGTAGACTTCTCTCAGAAGTTAAGGCCTCAAAAATAATACTGATTCAAAATTGAGAAATTAACTTATAAATATTTTAATCCACTGAAATTAAATTCAGAAATTATTCAAAATTCTTAGCCTTCCACCAAGACATTATCTGGGTTATAGCTCAAACATCAACCTTCATTTTGATTTGAATATTCTTGACAAAGACTTCTCTCTGTAGAAAAATATATTAAATCTTCAAAATTCTATATCTAAAGGAGTCTTTATATTACTATATAATTTTAAATATTTTATTGGAATTTGTTAAATTACTCGAAATTAATAGCAAAGCAAAAAATGTCCATAAGATAAACCATCCAAAACATATAGTAGTAATAAAAAATATCACCTACCTATATCTGTAATATTGAGTCGCAAGTTTTCTTGTTTTTTTTATTCCTCAGTAGAGGATATTTTTTGATTTATCCCCAGATAGAGCAGAAGTGAGGGAGAGAGAGGGTGAAAAAGAAACATCGATGGGAGAGCATTGATTGGTTGCCTCCCGCACTATCCCAACCAGGGTCAGGGATGAACCGCAACTAAGGTATGTGCCCTTGGCTGAAATTGAACCCGGGACTCTTTGATCAACGGGCTTGTCTAACTGCTGAGCCAATCTGGCCAGGGCTTGAGTCACAAGTTTTAATCATTTTATTAAATTTTTCAGTATAAAAAAACAAACCTATATTTCAAGAATAACTTTTGTTTAGAGGTATCCTTTACTTTGTCCTCAAGTGTATGACATGCCTTTTTTTTTTTTATCCTCACTCGAGGACATTTTTCCATTTTTTTGCTCAGATAGAAGGGAGAGAGAGGAAGAGAGAGTGAGAGAAACATCGATCGGAAAGGCACACATCGAGTGGCTGCCACCTGCACGACCAACCAGGGCCGGGGACAAACTGCAATCGAGGTACATGCCCTTAGCGGGAACCGAACCCGGGTGTCTCTAGACCGCAGGCCGACGCTCTAACCGCTGAGCCAAACTGGCCAGGGCTGACATGCCTTTTAATAGCTAGCTGGGAAAGAAAAAAAAAAAACAACTCTAGGACTTCAGGAAGAACAGGTGGAATATAGGGAGGTGATAAACGTCTGTAATAGGCACAGGTGAGACTTATACAAGGAAATCTATTGAACCTCAGTAAGAAGAGTAGGAGTCAGAAGAAACCTTACTAAGCAACTTGCACATGGTACTTGTAAGCTGACCAAACTCTGAATGCATCATTCGAGCCATTCACTGACCCACTGGCAAAGGTAGGAGCCTACCAGCCCTGACCATCATCGGCTGACCACTAAACTGTGCTGACCAGGCTTAAAATTAAAACAAGAATGAAATAAACTAAAACTTAGCAGAAACATCAGTGGCCACAGAGAGGCAAAATGACTACACAATCAGTCTAGGTAAGTCACAAACAAGCAAAAAGGGTAACAATAACCACCCCATGGAATGAGAAAGTTGGAATACAGAGTTGCTACAGTATAGTTTCCTCAATGCCCAGTTTTAAGAAAAGAGAGAGAGAGAGATACAAAGAAACTGGAGAGTGTGATGTATACACAGGGGAAAAAAAAGCCATCAATAGATACTTTCTGAGGATGTCCAGATGTTAAACTTAGCAAAGACCTTCGAGCAGCTATTATAAATATGTCCCAAGAATCAAAAGAAACCATATTTAAAGAATTAAGGAAAGTGTTGTTACAGTAACTTATAAAATAGAAAATATAATAAAGATATAGAAATTATTATTTTTTTTAAAAGAGAGAACTAAACAGAAATTCTGGAGTTGAAAAGTACAATTACTGAAATGAAAAAGTTCAATAGGTTCCGGTCAAGGTGGTGCGTAGGTAAACGCGGTATCGCCTCCTCCCACAACCACATCAAAATTACAACTTTACTTCACAACCACCTGAAATCAAGCTGAATGGAAGTCCTACAATTACAAAATTAAAGAAGCATGGCTGGCTGGTGTGGCTCAGTGGTTGAGCATCGACCCCTGCACCAAGAGGTCTCTGGTTCGATTCCCAGTCAGGACATGTGCCCAGGTTGTGGGCCTGATCCCCAGTGGGGGGCATGCAGCAGGCGGCCAGTTGATGTTCTCTCTCATGGATGTTTCTATCTCTCTCCCTTCCCCTTCTTCTCTCTCTAAAATCAATAAAGAAAAAAAAATGGAGCAGCCACATAGAGACTGTTAGAAGTGGAGGAGGCACGGATGGGCTGGTCCCACACCCACGTGTGGCGGATAAAAATCAGGAGGACACCTCGGCTGGGAAGGTCCCCCCTGAGGACTGAGGGGTCCCCGTCCCACACCAGGTGCCCCGCTCAGGGTTCCAGTGCCAGGAAGAGAGTCCCCATCACTTCTGGCTGGAAAACCAGCGGGAACTGAGGCTCAGGGAGGCTGAGGCAGCTGGAGCCCCAGGCAGCTCCTTAAAGGGCCCGCGCACGGACTTATCGGACTCTCTCCCTCTAAGCTCGGAGGGGAGACAGCTCGAGGGGGCACCAGAGACATAGAGGGAAGAACTGAGCTGTCTGGGACTGGAGCGAGGGCTGGAGAGGGGGCTTTCTCCGGGACAGACGTGCTGGCAGAGGCCTTTGTTCCTTTGGTGAGCCCTTCCCTGGGGCGGCAGACAGCAGCCATATCTGGGACTCCAGCAACCTGGCTCACAGTTTGCCCCGCCCTGGTGACTCCCTGAGGCCCTGTCCCACCCAGATTTCAGGCCCACCCAAGCTGTTTCCAGTGGCTTTACCACAGGATTGGCCTGTCTTGGCTCCTGCTTCAGATTTTCCTAAATTCTCTCAAACAAGCAGCATCTGGCCACAGGAAGCCCCATACCTCTCGCTAAGCGGCCCCAGGCCTGGCACTAGAAGCACCAGCCTTGGCTCACAGCTTGGCTTCGCGTGGGCACCCCCAAGCCCAGGACAGGAAGCAGCCATTTGAAGATTGCTTTTGTACCTTATGCCTGGTGGCCCCGGGTAGAACACAGGCAGTGGCTGACCTTGCCCCAGAGCCAGCACACCCAGTGGACAGCTTCAGACCATAATGAAGCACCACCACCCAACAAGAATGTGTCTACAAGCAACACATTCAAGAAATGGACTCGGGGGGTACCGGGGTACTTGCTCTGTGTGGTGGGCCCCTGCACAGATGATCCTCCAAGGTAGTCAGAAGTCGGTGGTCAGTGGGCACAGCCAGTCCTTACAGCTATCAGCCTGAGTAAAACCCTCCCATTGATTGTCAATAGTAATCAAGACTCAATTATAACAGAAGGGTGTAAAGTCCACATGAGGGATTGTACCTCAAGAGTCCAGCGGGGTGATCAGGGAGGCTGTGCCACTGGAACCTACAGGACACCTACTACAACAGGCCACCCTAGGAAGCCTAGGAGACATAGCAACTCTACCTAATACATAGAAACAAACACAGGGAGGCAGCCAAAATGAGGAGACAAAGAAACATGTCCCAAATGAAAGAACAGAACAAAACTCCAGGAAAAAAACGAAATGAAATGGAGAAAAGCAATCAGATGCAGAGTTCAAAACACTGCTTATAAGGATGCTCAATGAACTTAGTGAGGGCCTCAAGAGTATGATAAAGGACCAGTCAGAAATGAAGGATGCACTAACTGAAATAAAGAATAATTTACAGGGAATCAATAGTAGGGTAGGTGAAGCCATGAAGCAAATCATCGACTTGGAATATAAGGAAGCAAAAAACACTCACTCAGAATAGCAAAAAGAAAAAAGAATCCAAAAAAATGAGGATAGTATAAGAAGCCTGTGGGACAACTTCAAGTGTACCAACATTAAAATGGGGGTACCAGAAGGAGAAGAGAGCGAGCAAGAAATTGAAAACCTATTTGAAAAAATAATGACAGAAAACTTCTCTAACTTGGTGAAGGAAACAGACAACAAGTCCAGGAAGCATAGAGAGTTCCAAACCAGATGAACCCAAAGAGGTCCACACCAAGACACATCATCCTCAAAATGCCAAAGGTTAGAGACAAAGAGAGAATCTTAAAAGCAGCAAGAGAAAAGTAGTTATTTACCTACAACGGAGCTCCCATAAGGCTGTTAGCTGATTTCTTAAAAGAAACTTTGCAGGCCAGGAGGGAGTGACAAGAAATATTTAAAGTGATGAAAAGCAACGACCTACAACCGAGATTACTCTATCCTGCAAAGCTGTCATTTAGAATCGATGGCCATATAAAGAGTTTCCCAGACAAAAAAAAATCTAAAGGAGTTCATCACCACCAAACCAGTATTATATGAAATGCTGACAGGTCTTCTTGAAGAAAATGATAAAAAAATATGAATAAAATGGCAATAAATACGTATCTATTAACAACTGAATCTACAAACAAAATGAGCAAGCCAGATGGGAGGGGAGTTGGCTGAAAAAGATGAAGGGATTAAGAGTACAAATTGGTTGTTAGACTGATGAACCTCAAAGGGAAGGGGGAGGTGGGGTTGGAAGAGAGAAACCAAAGAACTTACATGCATATATACATAACCAATAGACACAGACCACAGTGTGGGGAAAGGAGAAGGGGGAGGGAAGGGTCAATGGTGGGGGGGACATCTGTAATATGCTCAACAATAAAGATAAGTTAAAAAAAAAAGTTCAATAGACAGGCTCAATAGGAGCTTTGAGGTGGCAGACGAATTGGCCCTGGCCGGTTTGGCTCAGCGGTTAGAGCATTGACCTGCGGTCTGGAGAGACCAGGGTTCAGTTCCTGCTAAGGGCACGTACCTTGGTCGCAGTTTGTCCCCAGCCCTGATTGGGTTGTGTGGGTGGCGACCGCTCGATGTGTCCCTCTCATGTCGATATTTCTCTCTCCTCTCTCTCTCTCTCTCTCTCCCTCCCACTCTATCTGAACAAAATATCAAAAAATGTCCTCGGGTGACTATAAAAAAAAAAAGAATCAATGAACATGAGGACTGACCAGTAGAGATTATCCAATTTGAAGAGAAAAAATTAAGAGAAATGAAAAGAGCCCCAGAGACCTGTGGGACACCATTAAACATATGAACATATATATATGTGAATCCAAGAAGAAGAAAAACGAGGACAAAAAAATAATTCAAGAAATAATGGCAATAACTCCCCGAATTTGGTACATAACAATACCCTATACATAAAGAAGCTCAACAAATCCCAAGCAGGGTAAGCACAAAGGGATCCAAACCTGGACACATCAATTGAAGTGTTAAAAGCTAAAAAAAACAGGATATCTTAAAAATTATTATTTTTTTCTTTATTGATTTTTTAGAGAGAGAGGACGGGAGAGGGAGAGAGAGATAGAAACATCAATGAGAGAACATCGACTGGCTGCCTGCTGCATGGCCCCCACTGGGGATTGGGCCACAACCTGGGCATGTGCCTTGACTGGAAATTGAACCGGTGACCTCTTGGTGCATGGGTCAACACTCAACCACTGAGCCACACTGGCAAGGCAAAAATAGAAAATCTTGATAAAAGCATCAAGTACCAGGGAACCATAATAATATTACCTGGCTGACTTCTCATCAGAAACAATGGATGGCAGAAGTCAACTGTCTGATATCCTCAAAGGGCTTAAAGAAAAAAATAACTGATGACCAAGAACACTGTACCTGGCAAAACTGTCCTTCAAAAAGTAATAACAGCCCAGTTGGTGTGGCTCAGAGGTTGAGCATCGACCCATGCACCAAGAGGTCAGCGGTTTGATTCCTGGTCGGGGAATGTGCCCAGGTTGTGGGCCAAGTCCCAGGGGGGGGCTTGCAGGAGGCGACCAATTGATATTCTTCCTCATCGATGTTTCTATATCTCTCTCCCTCTCTAAAATCAATTAAAAAAAAAAAAAAAACACAACAAAAAGTAAAAGCAAAATAAAGCCATTCCCAGATAACAATGCTTGAGAGAATTCATTTCCAGCAGACCTGACTTACAAGGCATATTAAAGGAAGTTCTTTAGACTGAAAGGAAGTAACACCAGACAGTAGTGGAAGAAATAAAAAATATCAGAAAAGGCAAATATAAGTTAATATAAAAAAGTCTCCTATAATTATGTATAGTCTCCCTTCTCTCAATTTCTTTAAACAATATACATTTATATAAAGCAATAACTATAACATTCTGTTTGGTTTCTAACAGATATAGGCACACTATATACATATATTTGACAAGTACACCGAGACGGGAGGAAATAAAACTATATGGGAACAGATCTTCTATATTTTAATGGAATTGTTAGTATTGATTTTAAGTAGATTGTGATAAGCTAAGATAAATATTGTAATTCCTGGAACAAGTACTAAAAAAAAATAACTAAAAAAAATATAATGTTAATAGGCTCAAAGATTATCTGAGATGGCTAGGAAGATCAATTATAAACAGAATAACATATCCATAATACTAAGGTATAATTTAGGTTTGTTTTTACAATTTCACAGATTAAGAAATAGGCTTACCTGAGATACACCTGTCATGTGCCAATGAAATTAGAGGCACACTGACTTTTCCTATGTAAATATCCTCCTGGGTATTACTATCATCAAACACATAAAAACTCAGAGACTCTGACTTAAGGTATCGATCCAAATCCATATTCATTGGCACTGGGAAACACATATGGTCATCAAACTGTGGATCATTGCTACTAGGAATGATGGCTGTGTCATGGTCTGCAAAATCAAAAAACTTGTACACAACATATGGGTGTGGCTGAAGGTGGCTTGCTTGGGACTGCAGGTGGTTGCAACATCTTATTGTAATATGAAGTTCATTTACGTTGCCATCTGTGGAATCAGCAGAACTGAGCTGAGCAGTTTTGGGTGCTTGCTGACTTAACTGGAAAAACATACATATTTATATTATAGCAAATATACAATAAAAAGATAAATAGCAGCTGCCAACCCCCAAACAAAATAATTTTGTAAATGGACAAAAACGTGCATATTTTCACTTCATAGAGAATTTCTCAGTAAAAGACTCTTGATTCTTATTCAAAACCAATATTTACTGGAACGTGTGTGAACAGATGATTCCTTGCTATTAGCAAAAAACACAGAAGACTGAACATACATTTAGAGATTGCTGTTAAAACCAAATGAAACCAAGAAAAAGTTAATCTGATGTTCTTTAATTCTATTTAATAACTGAGTAAAGTGAGCAGATGAGTCCAAAGACCAATGTTCTCTAGTTCACAATTTTATTAAGAACTTATCCTTCTATCATGCCAGCTATTTGGTTATATTCCATTCTTAAGTGACAATTCAATGGATTTGATGGGTCCCATCCAGAGGGATAATTTTGTTATATTTGGGTTGGCTCTCATTCTGAACTAGTGGGGTTTGGGGAAGTAGATACCTGAGGTCAAAATTAGCCAGTGTATCAAAGTACAACTGCTGTAAGAACAAGAGAACAGAATCAGAGATGAGCCTTGGAGGGGATAAACAGCTAGGACTAGGAGGCCACTTCAGAAGAGAGATGGGCAGGGCTAGAAACTGCTCTATGGCCCCTTTGCTCAGCAGCCAGTGCACAGGCACTTTAGTGAACAACTGCACTAACTGGAAACCCCCACCGCTGATGTGATCTGGGACAGCCAAGTTAGTGTTTCAGTGCCTTGCTCAGGTTAGTGTTGGAGAATTCTCTACTTTTCACAGAGGGATCCCTCCTTCACTGCACTTCTGAATCTGGATTGAGCATCTGGGACCTCTGACTCTAGAGAAGTTTACAGGAGAAGGAACAAGAGAGTCAGTCCTCATCTCCTTTGTGGAGACATCTGGCGGTGTGGATGGGAAATCTGAGAAGGGACTCACAGTACTGCTTCCCCAGGGCTAGTTTGCATTCAGCTGTAGAAGGCTGAGTGGGATGGTTTACAAAGATCCCCTCCGCTTCTTTCCCAAGTCTACCCACAAAGCCAAAATTCCAACAGTAAATAACTCATTGAAGCCAGAAACTGGGAGTCTAAAAACCTTTAAACTACAAAACTAAATAAATAATTTGGTGTATTTCTAGTTCCCTGAAGAATACTAGTCCAGAAAGATGATCTCTGGGAAAGGGTGCCATTCTTTCTTAAATATGGGAATCAATGTTATATTAGCAATGATTATTTTTTTTCAAAACTTATTTTTAGACAGAGAGAAAGGGAGAGGGAGAGAGAAATATCAATGTGAAAGTAAAACATCAATCAGCTACCTCCTGCGCACACTCCCCATTCCCCATCCTCCCCTCTACCAGGGGATCCAACCCGCAACCTGGGCATGTGCCCTGACCAGGAATCGAATTGGCAACCTTTTGGTACATGAGATAACATCCACCAATGGTGTCACACTGGCTAGGGATAGTAATGATTCTTTAATTGAAAGTTGCAGGAACTAATTCCATCTAGCAAATATAACAAAAAGAGACTTTAATATAAGGCTATAGTGCCCTGGCCAGTTTGGTTCAGTGGTTAGAGCTTTGGTCCACAGACCAAAGAGTCATGGGTTTAATTCTGGTCAAGGGCATGTACCTTAGTTGCGGTTTTGTCCCCGGTCCTGGTTGGGATCATGCGGGAGGCAACCAATTGATGTATCTCTCTCACATAGATGCCCCCCGCCCTAATCTGAAGATAAATAGAAAAATACCCTTGGGTATGGATTACTTTTTTTTTTATCCTCACCCGAGGACATTTTTCCATTTTTTTTTTTGTTCAGGTAGAGTGGGAACAGAGAGAGAGAGAGAAACATCGACGTGAAAGGAACACATCGAGTGGCTGCCACCCGCACAACCGACCAGGGCCGGGGACAAACTGCAACCGAGGTACGCGCCCTTAGCGGGAACCGAACCCGGGTCTCTCAGGACCGCAGGCCGACGCTCTAACCGCTGAACCAAACCGGCCAGGGCTGGATTACTTTAAAAAAAATAAGGCCATAGGCCCATCTCATGGAACTGTTACAGCAGAAATGTGGCTAGGCCTTAGGAAGGAAGTAGGACTAGAAACCACCAGAACGGACTCTCCACCTAGTTTCTATTCTCTGTATGCTGGGCTCATTATTTTCTCTCTCTAGATCCATTTTCTTTCCTTTGCTGTTAACATGGTAGAAGCTCCTAATTTTTTGCATGTTCCAGGGATGGAGAGTCTTGCTTTCTCTTGATCTCAGGAAGCAGAATCTGATTGGCTGAACTGGGGTCAGGTGGATATTTCTGAATCATTAGTTATAATTGGGTGGCGACTGAGGGAACAGGATCATCAAACATAAAGCTTGACACTGGGGGCCTAGCCCCATAGATGGGAGTGAGGGCAGTTCCAAATGAAAAAAGATCATTAAGACTTGAGCAGACATTCCACAATGTTTCTGCGATCTTCAATCCCTTTGTAACTCCACATAACTGCATAATTTAGGCTTCCTCTTGAGAATCATGTTGTACATGAGAAGTCCTAAAGTTAAGGATTCTATTTAACGTTGCTTAATTCAGTGCTTTCTGCATTCATTGGATCATGGCATTTATTCTTTTGGAAATACAGCCATGACTCCATGAAACATTGTTTGAACCTAAGGAACTGCATTTAAATGTCTAGCCCTGGCCAGTTTTGCTCAGTGGTTAGAGTGTCGGCCTGAGGACCGAAGAGTCGCAGGTTCTATTCTGGTCAAGGGCGCATACCTCAGTTGCAGTTCGGTCCCTGGTCCTGGTTGAGGTCAGCAGGAGGCAACAAGTCGATGTGTCTCTCTCACATCAGTATTTCTCTCTCTCTCCCTCCCTCCCACTCTAACTGAAGATAAATGGAAAAATATCCTCAGGTGAGGATTTAAAAAAAACAAACAGCCCAGGTAGTATGGCTCAGTGGTTGAGCATTGACCCTTGCACCAAGAGGTCGCTGGTTCGATTCCCAGTCAAGGCACATGCCCAGGTTGTGGGTCACATCCCCAGTGGGGGTCATGCAGGAGGCAGCCAAATGATGTTCTCTCTCATTGATGTTTCTCTCTCTCTAAAATCAATAAAGAAGAAAATATTACAAACAAAAAAACTACAAACGTCTAATTCTCAGTGACAATACTCATTTTGTGGTCCAATAATAGCTATGTATTTCCTTAATAGTAGATAATGTAATAAAAGTCATCTGATGTGTGATAATTGTATTGTAATTCTATATTTCAAGTGTCCTGGTTAGCACAAGGATGGGTTTCTTCGTGGTGATGGAATAATTCTGTATCTTGGTTGTGGTGGTAGTTACATGAATATATACACATGATAAACTGCACAGAACTCCTCCTCCCTGACACATGTAAAAACTGATTAAATCTGAATAAGGTCTGTAGCCTAGTTAATAGCACTGTACCGTGTCCACTTCCTGGTTTTCATATTGTCGTACAGCTATGTGAGATCTTACAACTGGGACTAGCTGTGTGAAGGGTACACAGGGCTTCTCTGTATATTTGTGCTACTTCCTGCAAGTCTATGATTATTTCAAAATAAAAAGTTAGAAAAAGTCACTTGATGGCTGTGAAAGAAAATAACTTCAGTTTAAAGCATGACATAGAAAAAATATTATAAAATGTCTGTGTCATAAAAGTGTTAAAGTCAAACAAGCTTACCCGTTGCGTTTGCTCTGGTCCCTTAAAATTTGATGTTAAATATCCCAAAGCCTTCGCCCGTTCTCGATAAAGTCGAATTGCTTGGTCCACGGGAACTCTTAATTGGAACCAGTATTCCACTGTGCCAAAATTTGGGATGTCTTCTTTAGTTCCTACAAATCAATATATAACTCACTGTTAAAATAGTCCTATAAATCAAAATATATACCAGTAAAAAGTACATCAATGGTACTATACATAAAAACTATAAATTTTATACTGAGTAAAATAGCATGTGACATGCACAAATGATGTGTGATTGGCAAACAACAGAGATGAAGAAAATGAAGTTACTTCTGCAAGTACGAGTTTTGCTGTGTTAAACATTATTAAAGAACTGTCAAACTATGTTTGAGAGCTTCCAATTTACACTATTTCAATCATTCTGAACGATAAAAGAAAATCTAAGTATTGGACCAAATACTCCACAAACTCTAATTGATGCTGCAGCACATTTTTTTTTTTTTTTTTAAAACAAGTTGTACTCAATGCAGTCTGACAGATACTATATGAAACCTCAAAATTATAAATATGATACTCCACATTATAATGCAATTTAAAGAAATCTATGGCCCCTTCCCCCTCTACTGTGTCACAAGTACAGGGCAAAAAAAGTCCATGGCTATGCCAAACGTGCACTGCATGTAATAGAACCTTGTATGACTTTGCTCTGCATACCCTCAGTACTTCTTTCAACCTGGGCAGCTCCACTCCTCTTCCTCTGCAAAGATTCCCTCGGAGGCTCCTGGGAGACTAAAGAGCGCTCTCTATGCCTGCACAGAGAGGAAGACTACGCCCTCATCAGGGCACTGAATGCTGCGACATAGCTGTCTGTTTCTCCCCAACATGAAGTTTCCCAAGGGCAAGGGCTGTGGTTTCCATTGATAGATTCTTACCAGAGGGACTGGTACTTAATGGGTACTCAAAAAATGGTTGAACAGATAATATTCTATACATAAAATTTCCTGAACAGAACATATTATTAAAAATATTATCCCTATTATCTCCTACTTCATCAATTTATTCCTTGCTAACGGACCATTCTCATCAATATATAATTCTCATCAATCAACAACATGGTTCAAATCTGCCAACACTTAAAAAATAATCCTAAAGGAAGAATATTAACACACACACATATTTGTTTGTATATGCACAAAATTTTCGGGGAAGAATCTATAGCCTTTGGTGAGAAAACCCAGAATAGCAGGGGACGGGTGGGAGATGGACATTTTATGGTCTAACCTTTTGTGCCTTTTTGATTTATGAATCATGTGAACATATTACTTATGCAATCAATCACTCAATCAATAAAATAAAATCCCTCCCAAGTCCCCCTCCTTCCCTCTTGAACTGTTTTCTTCTCTTGGCCTCAGGATACTGGATACTCTGGGTTTGCCTCCTACCTCCCAGGCCACTCCTGGCTCTTCTTCCTGAACCCTAAATATTGGCACTTCCCAAGGCTCAGTCCTTCACCGTCGTCGTCTTCATGTATATTCACTCTCCATGCGATATTATCTAGGCTCAAGGCTTAAAATATCCCATAGGCTAACGAGTCCCACTTTCACATCTCTGTCCATGACTTCAGCCTAGTGTCTCCAGCTGCTACACGGCGTCTCCACTTTGCTGTCCAGCAGGCAGGACAGCCTTAACTTCTTCACATGTGATCCTGATGTTCTTCCTCAGAGCTCCCCTTTCCCAGGCCCATCAGTGAATTGCCTACCCATTCCCCTAGCTGCTCAGGCCAGACGTTCTTGCCTCCTCTAGCTCCCTCACTATTCTACATTCAATTGTTAAACAAGTTTTTTGAAAAAAATTTGTTTGTTTATTGATTTTAGAGAGCGAGGAAGGAAGAGGGAGAGAGAGATAGAAACATCGATGAGAACATCGACTGGCTGCCTCCTGCATGCCCCCCACTGGGGACCAGGCCCACAACCTGGGCATGTGCCCTGCCCGAGACTCTAACTGGCAACCTCTCAGTGCATGGGTTGACACTCAACCACTGAGTCACACCGGCCGGGCTGATAAGCGTCTTGAAGAGTTAATCAAACATACACTTATGACCACTTCTTATCACCGCTTTCATTACCACCTTAATCCAAGCCACCACCTCTTTCACAGATTAATGCAAGAGCTGCTTGATAGTGGCCCTCTTTCCCCTCTTGGACCATCCAGACGTTTCTTCCTACAGCACCCACCCAGGTGGTTTTTCTAAAATCTATGTGTGATCACCTGGCTGGTGTGGTCAGTGGATTGAGCGCTGTCCCATAGCCTTAGAGGTCCGGGTTCAATTCTCAGTCAGGGCACATGCCTGGGTTGCAGGCTCAATCCCCAGTAGGGGGTGTACAGGAGGCAGCAGATCAATGTTTCTCTCTCACACTGATGTCTCTATCTCTCTCTCCCTTTCCTTCTTTCTAAAACATCAATAAAAACATATTTTAAAAAAAATTAAAATAAAACCTATGTGTGGTCATGTGACTTCCCTCATCAAAATCCTCCACTGACTTTCATCATTCAGGGGGAAAAAATCAAATCCAAACTCCTCACCATGACCTACAAGGCTCTACAGCATGAACTGGTCCCTGCCTTTCTTAAATCTCACCTCTGCTCTAGCCCCTGCCTTCTTGCTGCTCCTGCCTCAGGCCTCTGGACTTGCCGTTTACGCTGCCTGAAACATTCCTCCTCTGGTCTTGGCATGGGTCTTCATTCAGATCTTCACCAATGTCACTCCGCAGAGAAGCCCTTATCTGAATTAGCACCCTTCCATCTCTGTCTTCAGCTGCTTGCCCCAATCATTTTTCATCATATGTGAGGGAGACTCTATATCTGTATCTATATCTACATCTACATCTACATCTATATTTATCTATCTAATTTGTTCTATGGACTATCTTCTCCTCTAGCAGATAAGCTATGTGAGGGCAGGGGCTTTGTCTGTCTTATTTACCACTGACCACTGTATTCCCAGTACTCAGTAACAGTGATAACAAAACACTCTTAAAAAATATTTGATGGCCCTGGCTAATTTGGCTGCACAGTTAGAGCATGGCCCACAGACTGAAGGGTCTTGAGTTCGATTCCCAGTCAAGGGCATGTACCTGGGTTGCAGGTTGGATCCCTGGCCACAGCCCTGGCTGCGTGGGAAGCAATCAATTGATATAAGTTGATGTTTCTCTCTCCTCTCTCTCTCTCTCTCTCTCTCCCCCACCCCCACCTCCCTTCTTCTCTTCCACTCTATCTAAAAATCAGTGGAAAGCCCTGGCTGGTTTTTGTCAGTGGTTAGAGCATTGGCCTGTGGACCAGAGAGTCCCAGGTTCGGTTCCCACTAAGGGCACGTACCTCGGTTGCAGTTTGTGGTGGTTTGTCCCCAGCCCCAGTTGGGGTCGTATGGGTGGCAGCCACTCAATGTGTCTCTCTCACATTGATATTTCTCTCTCTCTCTCTTCCCCCTCTCTCCCTCTTGCTCTATCTGAAGATAAATGCAAAAGAAATGTCCTCAGGTGAGAATAAAAGAAAAAATAATAAAATGAAAATCAGTGGGAAAATATCCTTAGGTGAGGATTAACAAAAAAATAAATAAAAATTAAAATAGAGCAACAAAGATTGATGAATGTAGTACATTTAATGTTTAATCAAACAAGGGTATCAATTTTATAAATAAACATTTGCACTTATAAGCTTTTAAAAAATTAGCAGCCACTGCACTGACATCATCGAGACATGTGGGCAGTCCAAACATCTGTGGGCGGCTACATTAGAGAATGCTGCCCTTCCCCTGAAGGCACCTTGAGTCTGTAAAAGAAGATACTACCAAGAAACACCAAATTACTATATAAACCACGTTAGTGAGTCAAACAGCCCAAGTTTACAAAATTGTACTTACCAACCAAACTTGCTGTGCCAAATATTCGACCGCTTTTTTCTAGAATTTCATGGAATCTCAACAGACATGCTGCAATTGTTTCGTAATCTGTGCCGTATGCTCGGTGGACCTCCAGAGTGACAGTGTTCTTCTGAAGATAGTGTAAAAATAAGTCATTAACATGAACACGGTATTGAGAAGTGAAGTTGTATTCCGGGTGAAGGCCACGCACTATGGGAGTTGTCTGTAGTTCAAAATCATAGAAAGCGTAGGTACAGAAAGTGACAGGCTCTTTATCTCCAGACGCCTGTAACACTTCAGGAGAAAAGGTTACTTTGTTGATATGGATTTCAAATAGGTTTTCACCTCGTTCTAAGTGAATGGTTTCATCAAATTCATCCACAGAGTCATCTGGCAGGATTTCTGGTTTAAATTTGTACTGCTTGGTGCCATAGGCAATATCCTTTAATTGGGCTGCAAGAGAAGACACACAGTTTAGAGATTTCAAAATACTGACAAATGAAGATACAAAGTGGCTTCCGAAGTGGATGGAAGTCTTGAGGCTTCTGGTGAACAGCCTCCATCTTAAATTCTACGACTTCACTATTTTTCTGTACCTAATATTGTACAGAAATTCATCATTTGTTTTGACATCACTTATTAAATAAGAAAACTACAACCTAATTGTAACACAGGCTATCCTATGGAAAGCAACAAGGAAGAAAAAGGCCTCTGAATGAACAGCTGAAGAAAAGATCTGGGTTGCACCTGCTCCCCTGCCTCTTCTGTTACCTTCTCTCCTATAGAGTCAGTTTATCTTTCCATGGGCTCCTGTCCTTTAGCCTATTAAAATACAGGATGGCGCAGTAGTAGGTTTACAGTTGTGAGTACACAAAAGTTTATTTTTATATTATTATGTATTAATTACTGTATTATTTTCCATACAAACAACTGTAAACCTACTGTTGCCCCACCCTGTATATACTTTTCTACTGTATTTGAGGGATGATGGATATATTTTTTATCTTGATTATGGTGATGGTTTCAAAGATGTACACATAGGTCAAAACTCACCATACTGTCTACTTTTAATGATGTGATTTAAAGCTATGTTAATTACTTTTCTAAAAAAGATACAGCTCGTTCTAGATACACATCCCTCCCCAAATGTTATATCCAAATTTCTAGAAAGAGTATACTTGTGTCTCCAACTCCGTGGCTAACAGACACTCTTCAACCTGTGCAAACGGCACCTGCCTTTCTTGTGAAACGACTCCACAAAAGGTCACCAAGAACTAATTAACTGCTAGATCGAATGGACTCTGGTCCTTATATTACTTGGTTTCTTTGCATCATGGACACTATGACCACTTTCTCTTTTGTGGACTCTGTCCTACCTGGGCTTCCATGTCTGCATCTGCCCTGCTTCTCCTGCCTCTCTTCTCACTCTTTAAGGGTTTCCTTTTCTGTTAGTTTGCTAAGCAGAGTTCTGTTTTACTCTCCTCTTAGTTTGTCTTCCCGTGGGTAAGCTCATCCCCTTTTATGGATTTCTGCTACTATCAATATGCTGAATATAAATACTCAGATTTTTAATTCAGATTTCTTCCCTGAATTCCAGGCCCACACATCTAATGGCTTGCTAACTCCTCCGTCCAGATGTCCCCAAGGCACATCAAACTCAATATATCCAAAACAGAATGTGTTGTATTCTCTTCCAGTTATTCCTGTATTTGCCTCTCTAGTGATGGTGTTTGCATTCACCAAGCTGCCTAAGGTGGGTACCAGAATCGTCCCAGTTCCTCTCCCCACACCTTGTCATCAATGCTGTTGCCTAAGTCCTGATCGAATCTGCCCTCTCCGTCTGCACTGACACTGCCTCACTCACATGCCTGGGGCTGATTACCCAGGTCACTCTGAAGCCCACGCTGCTTCCTCCTTCATATCCGACGCCTTCTTCCCCACACCTAAAGCACAGTCTCCAAATACAGTTCTGGGGGTGTTACCCCTACTTTAAAAATCTCTCCGAGGTTCTCGGTAAGATTCCCACTCTTCGGGATGGCAAACAGGGTCTTCACACGTCCTGAGCCTGGGGTCCCATTCGGTGGCTCCCCAAGTAGTTTCCCAAGCGAATGGCAGAGGCCCTTTCAGGAGCCTGTCTCCTGCCTGGAAGGCCTTCATGCGCCTACTTCGTGGTGAGTGCTGTCACCTCTAACACTCCAGCCCGCGTGCGGAGTCTTCCCCGAATCTGCAGGTGTCAAGAGGTGCTCTTTCCTCAGTTGTTCCGTATCTTCTGCATTTTCCTAGCTCCACGCTCTCCACAGAAAACTATCTACTTCCTCGTTCACATCTTGTGAGCTCCCTGAGGGTGGTGCCTGAACTGTTCTCCCTGTTTGTACCCTTACTGCCCAGCACTTTGCTTAGGGTGCATGAGGAGCTTGAGCATGTTTATGGACTGAATCAATGAATACAGGGAACAGACAAAATATATTGGTAAAGATTTAGTAAGGCTTGAAAGGAATAAAATCCCAAACTCTGTGACCTCCTTGTTATTCTGGAAAATTCCATCAAGCAAATTTTTATTGAGTACTACGTGAAATAAAAGGTACACACTGCTCTGTGACTTCTGGAAAACCCTGTTCAGTTGGATAAAGATGTTTATTGAGCCCTTCTACTTAGAGCAGTGGTTCTCAAAGTGTGGTCTGGGGACCCCTTAAGGTCCCTGAAACTGTTTTGAAGGTTTGTGAGATGAGGATTATTTAAAAAATAATCCTAAGATGTTATTTTCTTTTTTCATTTTTATTCTCTCACGAGTGTATAACGAAGCTTCCTAGAACCTACATGATATGTGATATCATAACAGATTCAATACAGAAGCAGATATAAAAACGGTTTATATACCTAAAAATCATTTTATGTGATATAACAGCTGTTTTCTATTATTAAGATAGACACTAAAAAGATTTGTAAAAATGTTAAACAATTTAAAAAATTAAAAGAAGATTTAAAACAATGTCACTCTTCTCACTACTTTTTGGTATAGAAAATACTGCTTTAAAAAAATAAATGCTGTAATTTATGTTAACATGCAATGGGTTTATTATTATTTTGGCAGGACTTAAAAGAAATATTTTTAAATTTCTCACCTTTAATTTCTAGTATGGTAAATATCATAAGTGCAACCCATTAAATAAAAGGCCTTTGGGACTCTCTCCTCAGGAAGTCTTAAGTGTAAAATTACTGCTGGCATAGATAATTGAATTAAGCATTGTATAGCAAGGGACATGAAAGAGAGATAAAGTCTTCTGATTGAAGAACCTATCTTTTAGTCACAAAGAATATGCAAAGCTCCCCAAACACAGTTTCTGAGTACACCAGAGTGAAACTGGTGAGTGCTATTTTTCAAAGTACAGACTTGTACCTGCATCTGAATGGCTTGGAGTTCTTTCTAAATATACTGAATCATGGGCCCAGGTCCAGGGGGAGGGCTCAGGAAGCTGCAACCGAAACAAGTTGTCCCTGTGGTTCTCATCCTTGCTACAGTTTGACAACCACTGCAAGGGCATTTCCAGTAGAGGAATGGGAGAGGAATGGGAGCCAGCTTCTGGCCCAGGCCTGCACTCGGGTCTGAAGCAGGGAAGGGTGTAGCTTGCAGTTAGGGGAGAAAGGAGGTTCATGTGGAGTAGACAAAGGCATGGTGATGGGACTGAGCAAGAGGGATCCCAAACAGCAAGCAGGCTCGTTTGGCTGATGCACAGCTTCCTTAGAAGAGAACTTAGAAATCAAGCGGTAAATTTAGTCTGAGATACTGTATGGAGTACTTTGAGATCCTGCCTGCAAGCAACACTGAATCAAAAGAGCGGTAGAAAATGACTACAAATTCCAGACTAGAAAACAATCAGATAAAAACAGCCTTTCTGGTGCATTATTATTATAGTTATAAATTGGGGGAAAAAATGGCAAAAAGCTATTGTGAGTGTAGATTTGGATGACATTTTCAACTATTATAAAATCCATCATGTGCGGACAACAGCAAATTGTACACGATGTACCTTCTAGTTTCTGGATACGTGCAGCTCTGATATCAAGAAGATGAACATACTGTTCCACTTTGAGTTCATAATCTTGCTGCAAATTTTCCATCTTCTGGGTTACTGCCTCAACTTCCATCTAAAAAAGAAGAGATAACAAGTTTTAACATTTATAATTAGCTCCATTTTCATTTCTTTTTTTTTTGTTTGTTTTGTTTTTATCCTCACCCGAGGATATTTTTCCATTTTTTTGTACAGATAGAGTGGGAGGGAGAGAGAGAGAGAGAGAGAAACATCGACGTGAAGGGACACATCGAGTGGCTGCCACCCGCACGACCAACCAGGGCCGGGGACAAACTGCAACTGAAGTATGTGTCCTTAGCGGGAACCGAACCCGGGTCTCTCCGGACCGCAGGCCAACACTCTAACCGCTGAGCCAAACCGGCCAGGGCAGCTCCATTTTCATTTCTTAAGGCAAGTATGATTTGTGCATTTTCTAGATTCTGGAGATACCAGGAGTAAGAACCCAATTTCCTGACCTCAAAGAACTTACAGTTTAGAAAAACATGTGTAAAATTGTTCATAAAATCAGAAGTAAAATCAACACGATCCAGATTCCCTTTGCTGAGACGTTCCCGCGTTGTGGTGCAGACCGTGGCAGGGCTTCCGCATCACTGCAGCCTGTTTACAGGCTGCGCTGACACTCGTCGGCGTGCGTTCATTGCTGCCATTTGCTCTCTAAACTCAGGAACTTAAAAAAATGTATTTGGCCCTGGCCGGTTTGGCTCAGCGGTTGGAGCGTCGGCCCACGGTAGAGAGACCCGGGTTCAGTTCCCGTCAAGGGCATGTGTCTCGGTTGCAGTTTGTCCCCGGCCCTGGCTGGTCGTGAGGGTGGCAGCCACTCGATGTGTCCCTTCACATCGATGTTTCTCTCTCTCTCTTTTCCTCTCTCTCCCTCCCACTCTATCTGAACAAAAAATGGAAAAATGTCCTCAGGTGAGGATAAAAAAAAAAAAAAAATGTATTTGGCCCTGGCCGGTTTGGCTCAGCAGTTAGAGTGTCGGCCCATGGACCAGAGAGTCCTGGGTTTGGTTCCCGCTAAGGGCTCGTACCTTGAGGGGTTGCAGTTTGTCCCTGGACCGGTTGGGGTCCTATGCGTGGCAACCAGTCGATGTGTCTCTCTTGCACTGATGTTTCTCTCTCTTTTCCTCCTTCTCTCCCTCCTGCTCTATCTGAAGATAAATGCAAAAAGGTCCTCAGGTGAGGATAAAAAAAAATGTATTTGTTTTAAAACTATTTATTCTAAGTACTTAGTTATAAGGCTAACTTCCAGGCATGTGATAACACATGACCATGGATTATAATGTGATAATACATGATATTGTTTAGGAAAGTAAATCATTTTTAGGACATTATAGTAAACTTATTCTCCTAATTCAGTGTATTACATTACCTGATAATCTTTATTAATTTTATGTTGCATAATTAGCATGTTCCTTGTCTTTTCAAGTTCTTGCACTGTTTCTGCATGAGTTGCTTGCAGCTCTCTCATGGAGTGTTCTAGATCTTTATTAATTTTATTGTCTACTTTCTCTAAAAAGGAAAGGTCTCCATTTCTTTGTGATTTTTGAGCCTAAAACAAAAACATGTTTTATTATTGAAACACGAGTTTCTAAAATGTAATCATGTGATTTAATATAGATATAGCAAGGAAAACTCATTAATTGAAAACAGATATATTTCCATTTTCCATCAGGAATAAAGTAGTCCTCATATAGAAAATATATCTGGACAGACATTTGGAACAATTATAGAGAATTCAAAAATCAGTTTATTGCTTCATGACATAAAAAAGAAATCATGTACATTTATTTCTATTTCTTCATTTGATTAAAATCTACACTGTGATGATCTCAAAGGAAAGAAATGCATTTCTCATGTCTTCTTGTAAACAACGGAATACCCCAGAACTGGAAAATATCTTCTGGTAACACATAATTCAGTATTTTACTTAAAATAATTGTGTGTACCAAGGTCTCTTAGGACAGAAAATTGTTGATTAGTTTTGTAGTAAGGCATGTAAAAGTAAAATGTTTGTTACGGTTGGACAAAGTGCTTTAAACAAGTTTTTAAGGTCTACTTTAATGTGATTTTGATGTCATTATGAAATATGTATGTGCTGTAACTAAATGTCACCTGACCACTTGTCTGAATAATTCATTCTCCAAGTATGAGGGTTATAGATGAGGGTCTTCATTAAGCCAGAACAGTTATATGTAGACATGAAATTCATGGTGAAGTTCAAAAAGTTACCTTTATAAGCAGGAGAGCTTCGCTCAAGTCATCAGCATTAATATCACTCTCCTGCAAAAGACAAAGTAAAAGCTCACAATGAGATATTAATAGAAAGTACAACAGACATTCCAGCTATGCAGATTATCCTCATGGAACATAAGTTGCCTGATACCACAAATTAATAAATGAAGTAATGTATTTGTATCCTTTTTCTTTCTAGTATAGTGCTTTCTCCATGCATGAAATATTTAGATAAAAATCTGGAGTTTACTTCCTAAAGAAGAACATAGTTTACCTGGTTGTAAAACTTCATGCGGTTTTTAAGTTCATCAAGTTGTTGCTTTTGTTCCAGACAGCGTAACTGTAGCTCTCTATTTTCTTGAACGAGTTTCTCATTCTGGTCTTAAAAATAAAGTCGACACAATCAGAAAGGTCTGAGGGAATGCAGTTCAAGGACACTTTTACGTGCATACACCTCCTGGCACAGCAGGCTCCGCGGAGCACTGCCCTGGGCAGGGAGGAAATCCAGCTAGCACCTAGACAAAGGCAGCAGGGAGTGAGAATGGACGCATGCTCTCATGTGTCTGCCATATGATTCACTGCTTATCAAAAACTGAAGACGTAAGTTTGCAGTATTAACACAAGGAAATTGTGGCCTCTGGGACTTCAAAGAAGCACTCTATCTAAAATACCTAAGAAAATAGGTTTCTAAATCTATGACTTTTACTTACTTATTAAGGGTCCTGAAAGGCATGCAAAAAAAAAAAAAAAAAAAAATGTACCTTTCAGTTTTTTGAGTTCCTTGAATTTTCTTTTCCCAATTTAACAGAAAGTCTTTTTATTCAAACAAGGTAATTTCTCTGGTAATAACTAAAGCCATAATTTTTTTTTTTTTAATCCTTACCCGAGGACACTTTTCCATTTTTTGTTCAGATAGAGTGGGAGGTAGAGAGAGAGAGAAACATCAACATGAAAGGGACACTTCAAGTGGTTGCCACCAGCATGACCCAACCAGTCCGGGGACAAACTGCAACCAAGGTACATGCCCTTAGCGGGAACCGAACCCGGGTCTCTCTGGACCACAGGCCAACGCTCTAACTGCTGAGCCAAACCGGCCAGGGCTAAAGACATAATTTTAATCAACTGCACTGTTAACAAATCTGTTAATACAGGAGAAATGAATTCTCAATCAGTGCATGGTAGTGTCAGTAACAATTCCTGTGTGTTCATGAGCTTATGCTGTCAATCAGAAGGCCAAGGGCTCAGAGCTACTGTTACGAAATGGAGGTTGGTTATGTTCCTCTGGGCACTGGTTTGCTAGGGCCCACAAACAGGGGTTTAGGGTAGAGCTACCGAGGAGAGTAAATCCACACAAGGATTAATTTTTCAGACCCTGCATTAACATACTTTAAACTTAAAAAAAAAATAGCATAGTAGCTAGATAACAAATTTATTTTTTAGTCTCATGTTCTTAAGTGTACTCTTCAACAGAGTTCATCGTGGTGGTCAAGCATCCTCCATTTGGGCTCCCTGTGGACTAACCCTAAACCACGTCATCCAAAATGCCTGCACTAATTTCATCCTACTCTCAAAGATTTATGTTTATCATAAGTCCTCAATTCAAGTTCTACATTCTTGATTCCTTTTCCTTCAAAAAAAGAAAAGTCAACACATCTGCCAAGAATTCTTTACATGAGTACATTTGCACACTGACTGCATTTTATACAAAAATATGTTTCTGACATTTATAACACTTTCGGTTTCCAAGTTAGAAATACTACATGTAAGTAAAAATGGTAAAATACACCATTTAAAAGAAATGGAATAAATTCGAATATTTTCAATGTCACATATTTCTTGGCAAACTAAAAAGCAAACAAAAAATAAAAATGAAAACAAACAAAAAAACACACAGACTATGACTCTTGGGGATGCAGAAAATTTTTGATATCAAATTTATACATTTTTCATATTGATAAAAGGTTATCCTAGAGTGTCAGCTGCTCATATTTAGTGAACAAAATGAAAAAAGTTTTAATGTGAACAATACTTGGAAAACTTGAAGATAAAGGTGAAATGCTTGTCTTTAAACTAAAAATTAGGATAAACAATAAGTATGAATTCTCATGAGAAAAAGTTGCCTTTTGTTTAGAGAGTAGAATAAGGTGGAAAGCTTTCTTTGATGTGGATTAGAATGATCGGGTAACAGAAAGAAGGTAAATATAGTCAGAAGGATATACAAGCAAAGGTCCTGAAGATAACATAACTTCCTTCTGTGGCCAGCAAAAATTTCAGGGGTTCTGAGGGTGAGCCAAAGTATCAGGACAGGACTGCTCCCAGCTCCTCTGGATGATTATTTCTGTGCTTTCGTTTATTGTTTCAATTTTTCAGAGCAGGACCCTAACTAATAATGATATACTAGTATGTATAAATAAACTTATTCCAATGATTATTCTTTTACTGATTTTTGTTCCAACAGCTATGTCCCCTTATGTTCACTGATATTTTTAAAACTGGCATTATTAGTAAGAAAATCACTTAGTGGGAGAAGATATTACAGAATACCAGTAACTTCCTCTCTATTGAATTTTATGTAGAATTATCCACTACATTTTCCTTTTTTAAACTGTTTATTGGGAGACGAAATAGTTCAAGGAGGAAAAAGACTTGCTGAATTATAATATGAAAAATCAAAGCACCCTGTACAAGATGAAAAATAACCTCCTTTGCCTTATGATGTGACAAAAAGCAGGTTAAACTAAACAGCATTTTATTCAAATGAGATAACATTTCACTCTTTTAAAATTATGTTCTTCAAGCACATCATTAATAAGCAGATGCAGAGAACAATTCAACTAAACAATTTTCAGAACTCCTCTGTGTTAATATCTTCAGCTGTGATCAATATAACCATATGCATTATGCTGAATTATGCATTTCAGCTAAAGATAGAATGAAACTTTCAAAAGCAGGCCCTTAAACACATGCAGTTAATTTAAGCATTAACCAAATGCAAACTGCATTTACATATCCTTCCCCCACATATTCACACAATCTGAAACTAATTTGTACCTTGAATAAAGAGGTGAGTATTCTCTAAAAGTAACCTGCCAGTTAGATGAATGACTACAAGAAGCCAGGGAAACATCTTCTGGCAAAGAACACTTGATACATGAAAAGGTAAATGTGTGAAGAGACTTCAAAGCAAAATTTAACAATTTCAAAATCTGTTACACAAAAAGGAACTTTCTAAACATTAAAAGATTTCCTTCAATAGGCAATTTCAATTTTTGGGGTCTTTGTTTTCCTGGAAAAAATGGCTACAGGCTGTAATATTTTTCTTATAATCTTTTGTAACATTTCACTTAAAAAAAAAAAAAAAAACACACTTAAATCATTAGACCTATAAATTTTAGGTATTCAAGCAAAAATAACTTAAAATAACAGTTGCAGTAAAAATAAAGATTTAGTTCAGTAATATTTCTTTAGAAAATAAATAAATAAATGTACAAAAGTTTGTTCAGAAAAATTTTTATGATACTTAAAGAACTAAAGTGATTTAAAAATTCATTAATACAAGATTGTTAAACAATCTATGATACATTCTCACACTGAAAAAACTATGACAACTATTATAAATGATGGTGATGTGAATTTATATTTATACTTAAGGAATGATTTCACAATATGGTAAATAAAAAAGCATGTTATAAAACTATATACATATAGAAAACTCTGGAAAGACATACATAAAAATATTAGTAGAGATTATCTTTAGGGTTGTGAAACAGTAATTAAAAACTTTTTTTTTTGGTTTTGTTTATTGGACTTTTTTTTTTTTACGATGTGCATGAGTTATTTCTATTATTCAAAAAATCCAAAAGAGACATAAGAACCAGCAAAAAAAGATAAAAAATGAACTAGTTGAAATAAAATAACTTAGCAATTATAGCTTTAATAATTTTAAGAACCCTCAGAATTGATTCAACAATAGTTGTTGTTTTTTTAAAGGCCACCAAGATTCTATCCCCTTAAGAAGTTTCTTTCTGGAGATCAACTCAGATGTCTAAAGATAAGAGTTTTAAATTTTTTAATAACTAGGGAAGTATAGAAAGCACAGAAATAAGAAAAGTTTATTTCATTTCTCTTTCAAGAATGAGAAATTTATATGTTTTTGGAAAAGAGAGAGGGAATACAGAGTACTTCCACTTCCTTTAGTGAGCAAGAATTTATTGAGCAACTCCTAAACAAAGCACTCTGTTACATACTCAACTTTGCGTAGCAAAATCAGAAACTGTATCTCTGACATCAAAACTTTAAATATCCAACTGGTCAGAAATCATGTCACCATTTTAGTCCACTCACAATCTTCCAAATAATCTTTCATCAAATTTAGTCACTTGGTAAACAGAAGTGTTTCCCTGAAATTAAGACTACATCCATCATAAAATGTGTTCTGTTTCAAACTTCTTAAAATGTTAAAAAAGTCAGACCATAATTTTTAAATGTTATCATTTATAAAATGCATCCCAATTTTAGATATGTAAAAATGGGGAAAAAAAATCTTTCTTATAGTTAACGAAATATAGCATTGTGATTTAAATCAATATATAGAGTACTGACTAAATATGTAATTTTAAAAAAACTGGGTCTGCATTAAACTTTTAAATGTTCTTATACAATGAAACTGCAAATGTTCCAAAGCAACTTTATTGTCACATCCCTTGGTTTACCTAGTGGATGAGAAACATACATCATTTGCAGCAAATAATTCAATTCCCCCGTTGTGCATTTGTGTGTAATGTGTGTGTAAGATACAGTAAATCGAACATCTATTGTTAATTATTATTTTACTTCTATGAGACAAGATGGGTGAGATCTGAGATGCATAACATGAATCTTACTAATGATTACTATTCAGCAGGGACATGTCCCTCTTTTTTGCATGATCAGTCCTTGTTTTTTATACACAATATAAAAAACAATGAACAGCAAATACATACACACACAACCTCCCTTTGGTACTCCTGTTCTTTTCCCACCTCTCCCCATGCACCAACTTGAATTTTACAGCAGAGACATAGAGACAAGGTGTCCTGGCGTGTAAGTTCCTGTCACAGAATTAGGCATCTCATTATTAGAGCGACCTCCTCAGTTGGACCCGTCAAAAATAGCAGCTCCTGCCACTCTGTTATGCTATACTACTTTGTTCTTATTCTCAACACACTGGCCACTGCTGGGCATATTACATACTTATTTAATTACTGTCTGCTTCTCCCTATTGAACTGATGCTGCATGTGGGCAAGGCCTGTTTTATTCACTGTTGTATCTCCAAAATGTAGAACAATGCCAAACAAATACTGGTGCTCAATAAACACTTGTTGATTGTTAAAGAAAGGCTCAACATTTAGGAAAATTAAACATAATAAAGCCAACATGAATAAGAATAAGTCTGAGAAAAAACAATTCCTTTGGCCTACAGGCTAGGACGAGTGAAAGAAAGTTTGAGTGACCGATACGCTCATGCAAGGGGATGGCTGTGGATGCGGGCTGTGTCTCCCATACTCACAGGCTGTCTCCCCCATACACAGCAAGGTGCCGTGCCTGGCAACACAGCAGGCACCACAGTGAGTCCCGACTGGGTCAGTGAGTACACCGAGTCAAACACAGGTCTGAAAGGAGGAAGTCAGTAGTTGTTTCATATGTACCTCTTTCAGTTTTTAATCTGTCGAGGATTTCAGTTTTGTCTGTTAGGTCAGATTTTAAGGCCGTCTCGAGCTGAGCAATCTGTACTTTCAGCTGCTGTTCCTTTAACTTCCATTGCTCTTCATGGGCAGCACTGAAGGCACTGTAAAACACACAGGACATGCAAGGAAAGCTTGGAAATCAGCTTCAACCGAAAATAATAAAGAGAAAAGCTTTTAGTGGCACAGAGACCACTGTCATCATGTCTTAGGAATTAAGTAAACACATGCTGGTCTGCTGCTGTTGAGACCAGGCGCCTTTCTCAGGCTGCGGTTAGGGAACATGAAAGAGTCTGTGGGATGAGCAAAGGCACTGGCCTTAATTTAGAGCTCTAAAGTCAGAAAAGTTGGCAGTGTGCAGCTTTTGTGGGACTAGTGAAGGAATTCAGATACTGTACGTGCTCCAGAGAAATCCGCAATTCCAAACCTCAGCGAGCGGCATCGAACAGGACTATTCTCTCCCACGTACAAACCCTCTTCCTAGAGAAAGGGGATCTGATCTTTAATTCTAGGATCTGTGATAATAACATAGTCACAAAATACTGGCCACAAAGTGACAGCATATTGAACAACAAGGCGGCACTTCTGATGTTAAGAAGTAGTGATAAAGCAGTTTTGTCCTAAAAACAAAAAACAACAGGCTTAAGAGCAAGTTTTACTTGTAACACACTATTGGGATGAAAACCCAGTAAGAATGCCCTGATAAGAATGACAAAGATAGAAATATTGTCCCTCAATAGAAGTGTAGCAGTTTAAGCTATTGTTAAAATCTACTAATGATTGAGATTTGAAGAAATAGTTGAAAAATAACTAAATGACATACAGAAGGTATACACTACACATTTATTTAGGACAGTGGTTCCCTACTGCGAGACCAGCTACAGGAGAACACTTGGGGAGATTTCAAAACGAAGATCCTGGGGCCCAGGAATTCATATTTTTATAAAGCTCCCAGGTGATAGCCAGGTTTTGAAAAAAATGATCTTGATCTGTATTTCAGCAGAAAACTATTATCTGTGAAGCTTGATATGACTGAATAATTATCAGCAGCTTCGACTTTTCTACTTATTTGAAACCAGGTAAATGAAACAAAAATTTATAAAATTTGGTTTTGTAGTGATGATGAAGTAAATGAAAAATAAATTTGTTATTGAAAATTGCCTTTAATGTTGCTCCCAGCTAGACTTGAGGTTTTTATACCAAAAGAGATACTTTTCTGGGAGGCATGGCTTTAAAAAAATTGTGCATTCATTTTACATTTTGAATGTTTTTACTGCATTTAAAATAACATGACCTTAAAAATAAATGGAATTCTAGAAGTTTTTCAAAATATGACATCTGTTTCACCTATCAGTGTTCTCCTTTCACATATGGAACCTTAGAAAATGCATGGGTCTGATATACCAATATTTTAAATTAATTTTTAAAAAGGTACAATTACCTAGACTTAAATGAAATCCAAATACAATATGTACTTTAAACACTAAAGTCAAGAATGTTCCTTTACATTTTCATTTTAAAATAAAGAACAAATATAATTTATGTCTGGTCAAATTATATATCCCAAATGCATACATATAAATGCATGCATGCATGCGAGTGTGAGTGTGTGTGTCATATTATTGAAACCATGTACTACCCGGAAAAAAATTAGCATGATGAAATAGGCACAACTATACATTATATCAGACGCCAAAAATTAGAAACAGTAGTGTTCCAATAGCATTAGTACCAGCAAAAAAGATCACCAACAGTTAATCTGGCAGAAACATCAGAAGCTGTATGTGTTTAAATTAAGAACAATTTAGCAGCCTAGTTTTTCCAAACCCACAAAATACTAGTGTAAATCAGCATAAGTCAATCTGAATTTAGTCCACTGTTCTCTTCCCTCTAAATTTAGGATTACATTCCACTGGAGTTTCATGAGGAATTCCTTTTGAATTTACTGTATTCCTCTACGCTTGGAGCCATCTGTGTAGCTATAAATGGTGAACCACATCTGGCTCCATTTTCTTTGTAAAGGCTGTGTACATGATTAAATCTGCATATGAGCACAGTCTTTGAGAGCCTTTTATTCATGAAAATGTCTTTGTACATTGCCTCCAGTGACAATTGAGGGGAATCATAGCTGGTCTTGGTGCACATTTCATTGTTACGCTGCGTTGCAGAAGTGATAAAGTATCAATCTGCAGTGGAATGTCCACTGGTGCCTGTGGGTCAGCACAATGGAACCCCCTCCCTGCCCCCGCAATCAACAGAAGGGTAAGATCAAATTGAGCTAAAGAATTCATCTCTACCCGAGGGTCTTTGTTCTTACAGGAGAAATGCCATTTATTCCAATGTTCAAGGGCATCCTAAGGAGACGTAAGTATAAGCTCTAAATCACCCCTAAAGAAACCCATAGGTACTTTAGTTAGGGCCTAATGGAAATTAAGTACATATTTACATCAAGATATTTCACTTATTGGAAGAGAAATGATGGCCCAGACATACTCAGTGTGATTTCTGTGAGGCACAAAGTGCTCCTATTTGATCACGTGGGCTTTCATGATTCCTGGAAGGCTGCAGGGGACAGGTGTTCACTTTACAGAAATGGAGCACAGAGTCTATGGGTGGTCAGCACTGCTCCTTTAAATTTTGGATATTAGATGACTATCACATTGTAAGAAGTTAATTCACCCAATTCTTAAAATGGTTAATGTCATCTTCAAAAACTAGACCAACTCTTTTTTAAAAAAATAGGTATTAGGTTAGTAGTCTCTTGTGGCGTTAATACTTAAAGTGACCTTTCACAGATTCTTTGGATCCAATCTCAAATTGACTGTCTCAGAATTGGATAGTTGTGGGTGAAGAGGTTCCAAAGGGTAGTAAAACCTATGTTTTCTGTTTTCCAGGTTATTCATATACATGATCGTTGAAGGACTATTGCATTCATTAATTACATCACCCTAAAACTATACTAACTTCAAAAATAGGATACAGCTTTATGATTTTATAGTATAGAGTTTCTCCCTAACCAAATAAAAAGATGTAATTGCAAAAAATTTATTCTGAATTTTTAAATTAACATTTCTTAAAGCTATGCTTATTTCTTGGCATTGTATCAAAAATATTTGAGCATATTAAAAAAAGGCTCATACCAAATACTAACATGAGGATTTTATCTTACCAGATGATTCTCTAATATGTCATATGTCAAGTAATAAACACATTAAAAATTTCATTTGAAAAAGGAAGATGAGAATGCAATCTGCAAATCACATTTTTCTCCTGAAACCCAGCCAATTTTGGATAACAAACAAATGCTCTCCTTTTGAAAACATGCTATCACTATGACTAACCAAACTGAGAGTGTATGTAGTTTCTGATGAGCGTTAGTTGTTGGCAATGATGAGTAACAGTGCCACACAACATAAGGGCTGTTAAAAATCTTAGGAATGATGCTGATACTTGCAGTTTGTTGAGTTTTGTAGTTTCTCCAACTTCTGAAAACATGTATTTTTAAAAATCCTATTAGAGAATTTTATAGTTCTATTTACTATTGTGTGTGTGCTTGCTGGGTTTTGTGCTTAAGTGACATGCTTTTTTTTTCGCGACACAAAATGTTATGACACTCATTACACACATTCACTTCCATATGCCTGACACAAAATTCAATGCAAGCAGCATAATGAAGTCTGTTCAATGTAACAGAAAAAAAAAAAAATGTAGCTCAAGCATAAAACAAAGAAAAAAACTTTCAAAGTTATATTTACACTCTTAGATCATCTTCTAATATGGAAAGATAAAGTTTCATGGTGATAAAGTAAATATGAGAAAAACATGTCTTTCTCAAAATTCCATTTATGCACTATTCCCAACTAAGTTTTTTATTCCAAGAAAGTATATTCAGTAAATCCCCTAATTGGGAGGAAGTAGAAAATGTCGAAGTAATAGCCAAATGGCACTTACTCTCTTATATTAAGACCACGTTAAATTATTTGAAATTATAACATGTTGAAGATAAAATCAATAAAAATTTCTGAACATATGGCAGTTCTGTTATTCCATGAATGTTTCCCTTTTTAATACACAGTTTTCCAATCCAATTAAAATCAGAGAGATAGTGAAGCACAGGGGGGAAAAAATCAAGTTTCAGAATCAAAGAATTGGATTTTAGTCCTGTACCAGAGTCTCAGCAATGCCCTGTGACTCTGTACGAGTCTCAATGTCCTCTTTTATAAAATATGAGGATAACATTTTCTCTACCATTCAATATGGTGGTTGTGTGAGCTGTATACTGAAATTTAAAAATTTCAAACACACGGCTACTAAATACTTAGGCATAAAACAATATAAACCTATGCACTGTTATATAGAGATGGAAATTAAAACAAGAGGCATCATAAATGCTTCAGGTAAAATTAGTTAGGGCTGAAAAGAGGGACCAGAACAAAGCACTGGGGCCAAATGATCCGGAAGGGGGTTGAAGACAAATCCCACATAAAGGTTTTTAGCCAGTTTATCCTTGCTGGAGAGCCCCAGGTATTCTTTTGACTGGTGTTTGAACCTGCTATATGTAACCCTCAGTATAATGAGCCACTGTACAAAGATAATCAGCACTAGCAGGTAAACAACATAGATATATACCACTGGATGATGCCTAACATTAATCATATATCTTTTCAAAGTAAAAATGAAGAAAACCCTATCGCTACACTCTTTAGGTATGATTTAATTTAAAAAATATAAATTTAGTTCAAACATAAGACACAGTTAAAAAGTTAAAAGACATATCTGTAGATGACTGTTTTCTATTTTATGATCAATAGAAGGAACTGCTGATATCAGCTCTAACATACATTTCAATATATATAGATTTTACTTTCATGAAATTGTGTATTTATCATTTATTAGTATCATATACTAAATACTATTTGTATCACTTAACTAAACCTAACTGTTTCTAACATAAGTAGAAGAGATTATTAAATACCTTAATCATGAAGCAGATAAAAACAAATTGAAACAGTTATTTAAAATTTATCTTGACCTAAAGATGCTTGTGTTTCTCTTTATAAGGCAGAAACAAGTGTAAGTGAACACCTTTGCCTCCACTAAATAATCACTCTCAGCTCACAGGCTGGGTAGTCCAGTGGGGAAATAAGGGCTTGGAGAGACCTACGGAGGCTCAAATACAAGTTCTATTATATCATAGCTTTAAAAACGTGGGCAAGTTACTTAATTTGTTTTATTTTCATTGTCGGCAAATGGGCATTTACAATGCCTACATTGCCAGGCTTCTGTGAGGAATTCACAATAATGTATGTAGAGTATTTAGCACAGGACCTACTAGCTCATAGTCTATATTCAATAAACGACAGCAGTTATTACTGGTAACGAAGTAATAGTTTTCTTAGTGACAGATTACCACTCAAGTGAAAGAACTTATTTATCAATGCCAAAAAAGCTTATTTTCCTTTGTAACATATATATATATATTTCTTGCAATCATTCATAACTAATTCTTTTTATTTATTTATTTTTTATTCTCACCCGAGGACATTTTTTCATTTTCTTTTGTTCAGATAGAGTGGGAGGGAGAGAGAGAGAGAGAGAAACATCGACGTGAAAAGGACACATCAAGTGGTTGCCACCCACACGACCCAACCAGGGCTGGGGACAAAGTGCAGCCGAGATACGTGCCCTTAGTGGGAACCGAACCTGGGTCTCTCTGGCCTGCAGGCTGACACTCTAACCGCTGAGCCAAACCGGCCAGGGCCGTAGCTAATTCTTTAATAAATGTTAGATGTTCTGACACCCGATGCTTTGATACAAAAGATCTCAGACAAGAGAATGAGAGAACACATGGAATCCTGATTTACCTGTTATAAAGTTTATCATAGTTTTCCTTTAAAAGTTCCCGTTCCTTTTCTAAGTCATTAATTCTATCTTGCAGCTAAAATGAAAAGAAAATGACACATTAGATGATTCTCTATAAAACCACAGGGAGTAAAAGCACATGAGAAGAGGCTAACATGTGTCAGTCTTTATTTCTAAATTGCAGTTGCTAACTAGTCTACTTATATTGTCTGTATTTAATTTAGCACTGATTTTTTTCCCCACAGTTGTTAAATAAACATGAAATTAATATCTCTGTTTTAATTTAGTAGAAATGTAGGCACTACTTTAAAGTAACCTGTGCCAAAACTCAATAAAGAATGTGTTAAAAGCTTGCTGTTAAGTCTGAGGAAACAATTTTTTTTTCTTTCCTCTCCAATGAATTCCATCATTATATTCATTTTGTATTAATTTCCAATTGGCCCATAAAAGTAAAAGGATTAACTTTTCTTTTGGCTCATGGGTCACAGATACTGTGTCCATCACCATTTACTCTGAAGACACACTTTCTCATGTCACCTGGAATCTACAAAGAACCAGCAGCACACCTTTTAAATATATGAATGAAGAAACGAAATGGCATACCACTTTTCATCCCGATGAATATTTTAAGAAATTAACTTGGGGTAATAATTATATCTTTATGACTAAAGTGTACTTTTCTGTACTTATTTCTACTATGCACATTAAGTTTTATTCAGCAGAACATTTTGTAGTTCAACCTCTTCCCATGGCTCAGAGTACTCTTCAAATGCATTTCCATTCTCAAAATCCTCTTTTGATGCTGGCATGAGACAAGAGTCTCCCAAGGTCAGAACAGAATGTAGGCATCTTATTTCACTTCTATTCTCTTTAAAAACAAGTTTAACAGACTACAGAAAAAGGCTGTACAAGTTGGGAGACACGAGTGGCAACAAAAAGGAAGGTGAGTTTTCAAACAACTTCTTAGAAAAAAAATAATTTTACAAAATTGCTGATGTTGCAAAATACAACATCTTTCTCCTCAGAAACAAATATATCCCGATCATTTTGTTTGGATATCGCAAACGACTGGTAAACTTAGAACTGAGAAAGTTGAGTTGCACAGGTAATCAGTTTCAACACGTCTTTTCCCCTCAAGGATCCTTAACTCTTCCGTAAGCAGTGCTCTGGTGCGTCTGTGGCCTGCCAAGCACCGTTCTGCCATGCGCATACATGCACGCTACCTTCTGCTGTGCTCAAAGTGCCGTGCATGTAGTGTGGATTTTTAAATGAATACATTATTTGAAATGTTTCAATTTTACTTTTTAAAACTGGTAGTTCAGAGCAGTTCCAGTGCAGCAGCTGCCAAGCACTCTGAAGGCTCACCTCTTCGATTCTCCTCTCAGAAAATGCCATGGAATGCAACTGTTTCTCAAGACCGCAGCATTTTAAACGTTGCTCTTTAAGTTGCTTATTTAGCTCATCTCCATTTGCTATCAAGGCATCGTGGCTGATCCTGAGAGTTTTTTGTTTCTATAAACCAAAAGGAAAAAATTTTCAAACTCATTTTTGGATTGAATAAGTGATTACAATTCTATAAATAAATTTCTTCCTGCAGTTCACGTTGTACAGCTGACCATTCTTCACCTCACAACGTACATTAACACTTGTCTAAAAGAGACCCTTTCAACCTAGGTGTTCCCTGAGGAAGAAAATACAGATGAACTTAGCATACAGTCAAACAAAGCAAACTGTTTTTGCCCTTTTTAAAATTTCTGCCTAGTTTTTCACTTCTTGGTAGTGACTAGTGAGTAAATTCGGGTTAACAATTAATTTTTTCTTTTCGCTGTGATTACAACGGTCAGATCTGTTGTCTAAAAATAGTGCCACATGGGTCAAAACTAAATGCTGACCACAGATGTTCAGACTAAAAGAATTTGTCACCACAACCTATCAACAGCCTTGAAAAGTTAGCTTCTAATTTTAATTAAGTTAAAATTTTCAATTCAGTTAAATACTCACTGAAGTCTTCTTAATTCTTAAAATGGACTATTTACAAATATTTTAAATTTAATTTTATATACTTAAATGCCATATTATTATTTTATAAATAAAAAAAAGTGATCACACTAAAGTCTTTTCAGAGGCTCTACCACCATAGAATGTATGCCTCATCTGCGAACGAAAATCTCCTAAGTTCAGCCCTGGCCCGTTTGGCTCAGCAGTTAAGAGCGTTGGACTAAAGGGTCTTGGGTTTGATCCCTGGTCAGGGTTGTGTGGGAGGCAACCAATCCATGTTTCTCTCTCACAGTGATGTTTCTCTCTCTCTCTCTCCCCTTTCCTCCCTTCCACTTGCTCTAAAAATCAATGGAAAATATCCTCAGGTGAGGATTAACAACAATAACAAAAATTAAAAAAATAAAATCACTTAAGTTCTACTGAAGCTTTTCAGTCACTTAAAAGAAACAGAGGTACTGAATCAATTTTTGTTAATCTTGGTGTTACTGTAAAACACTGTTAACCAGCTTTCTCTGGCCTTCCTGTCTCATTGAAGCTGTTGGTCTGAACCTCTCAAATCTCTGCCCATTGTCAATCCCCAAATCTGTGCTCTAGCAGACACTTGTTAGTGTTGGTATTTAAACAAATACCTGGCATCACTGTGAAATGAAAATCAAAATAGTCGAAGATAAAAAAATAAATCACTTTTTAATTTCTTTCTTAATGCCTCATTTTAGAAATGGCTTAACTCTATGTAGTTTTAATCTCCCTCTTCTACTGATGTGCAGATTGTGCGCTATCATTTCCACTCTGATTAGTCTCCCCTCTTTCATAAACTCTCTTATTTATAGAAAAGGTAGGCATTACCTGACCTGTAAGAAGGTTCCTGCAGGATGGAAAACACTACCCAGAATACAGTTTAGAATATTTATCTAATGCAATAGTAAATTCAGGTTTTAGATAACCCTATGCTTTGCATCAATTTATTGCTTTCCTTGTCTCAGTACTTCAAAGAAAGTATAGTACCCCACCTTTTCCATGAGGGTACACTCCAAGACCTGCAGTGAATGCCTGAAACCACAGATAGTGCCACCCTAGCCATACTCTGTTTTTTTTTCCCCCATAGATACATATCTATAAATTATAAGTTTTAATATATGTTAGGCACAGTGAAACATTATCAACAATAACTAATAACAAAATAGAACTATTGTAACAATAACCTGTAATAAAAGCTATGTGACTATGGCCTGTCTCTTTCTCTGATAACCAAGATGGCTCCTAAGGGACTAGCAGGCAGGTGACACACACAGGGTAGGTTTGCTGGACAAAGGAATGATTCATGTCCCAGGCAGGAGAGTGGTACGGCTCAAGATTTCATCAAACTACTCAGAATAGTATGCAATTCAAAACTTATTAATTGTTCATTTCTGGAATTTTCCACTTAATATTTTTGGACTGCAGTTCGCCGTGAATAACTGAAACCTCAGAGAGCAAAACCGCAGATAAGGGGGGACTACTGTGCTGCTTAATATAAATTCTGCTCGTCTGGAATGTTGGGAGTTATTTAATTCCAGAACCAATGTTAATTATGCAGTGCCAAAAGTCTGATGGCCTATTCCTGTGGGGCTACAGTCTTTGTTAAAATAATTGTGGGGATGAAGAGTCCCAGGTATTATCAACCTGATTAGTTGAGATTTAAAATATAGTGATAATTGACAGGACAGGTACTCAAATATTTTCTGATAACAGTAGTGACAAAAGAAAGCAAAACACCATATCAAAGACAGACTTAATGAAACCTGATTATTGGCCAATTCATAACTTTGGTCTATTTTGGATATTTCATAAATGATCAGAACTGAAGATTTATGAAAATATCTCTAAACCTTCAGTGCTATATACCCATGTAAATGCAGATAAAAGGAGTTAAAAATAAATTTTTTTGCCCTAGCTGGTTTCGCTTAGCTGTTAGAGCTTCGTCCCTCAGACCTAAGAGTCACAGGTTTGATTCCTGGTTAAGGGCACATACCTTGGTTGCAGGTTCAATCCCTGGCCCTGGTCGGGGTTGTTCAGGAGGCAATCAATCAATGTGTCTCTTTCACACTGATATCTTTCTCTCTCTCTCTCTTCCCCTCCCTATCTAAAAATTAATGGAAAAATATCCTTGGGTGAGGATTTAAAAAAAAAAAAGGTTTCTGGCATGACATGATTTATGATAAATGTAGTTATTATTTTAAGATGACAAAGATATTTATAAAAAGTCCAACCAGCTGGTTATTTCTTTAGGTATTAAGTTATAAATAACAAATAATATAAAAAGTGAAATTATACATAAAAATAGTAATCTTAAAAAATTACTTTTTAGTATTCTGACCATTCTACTTAAAAATATACAACCTAAACACTATTTTCAGACCTTTGTATGTATCACCATAATAAGATAAATTATCACAGTACCTCTTGAAGCTGAATAAATTTCCCTTCCATTACTGAAAGAGCGTTGCTTTTCTCCACTAGTTGCTTATGAAGCTTAATCATTTCTACATTGTCCCGAATGTTTGACCTTCAATGATGTGTTTAAGAAAAAGAGAGACAGAGTAAAAAATTCAAGGAAAAGAAAAAAAATGTGATGCAATCACAATTTTTCATGAAATTTTACCTGGAAAAAATTTATACACTTGAGGATCAGTCACCAAGATTTTCAGTTTATTATACACTTAGGATTAGATTTATTATTTAAAACCAGCCAATAATCAGTTTTGAACTTTATAAACTCATAACTCTCAAAATTTGAAGGAAGCCTCACATGTGATGACTTGTGTCACCTACATAATGACAATATGGATTTAAAGTCATTTTACAGTGTCCTGATAGATGGTGCAAAAGGACATCAGTCTTCAGCACAGAAACTTCCACCACCAGACTGCAGACTTATCATACTCCTTCTCCCTGGATGGAAAATATGCAATACAGCCACTCATCTTCCCACCACTCCTTCGAAACAAATGGTATCATAAGATTACCATTTATTGGAGTTTCCTCCTGGAGTTTGAACTTTTCAAAATATTTCCAAAAAAGTGACTTAGCGTTTTATACTAATAATGCCCAAAGCTGGCATTTAAATACGTTGCAGATGTGCCTTTAGCTGTAAGAGATCATTTAACATCCACAGGGTATATAGAAACTCTATATGCTGCAATACTAGTTTGTATTTTTCCTACCGAGATTAAAGCAAATGTAGAATTTAACAGGAAGATCTTATTAAAGGTTAATCATAGATCTAAATGAATACCTGTTTTCAAAAGGCATTTATTTTCCTGACAGGGAAAGGTTCCTTAATTTAATACATTTTACATTCAAAAGTATCTTAAAAATTGTGATGCTCGGTTTTTGGACTTCATTTTTTAGGAAAAATAAACATAAAAATTTTGAATTCAGAAAACTTTTCCAGTATTTAAAGTAAGTAATTTTGCTTCCCAAACTTATCTAGTGTACACATATTGGAAAAATTGTCACAATGCCCTACTGGAACCAGAAAACGGACTACAAAGCTCACACATCTGTAAACCAGCTGAGGACTTGAAATACTTAATTTTCCTCTTTGATATTTGAAAGTTCATTGTATTTTGGCATTGGACAGTTAGTTGTCCTGAAACAGAAGATAAACAAGTCCAAGAACCTGGATCTTGCCCAGGGTACAGTCTTAACACAGTGTTAAATAATTGTGTGTCTAAAACTTGTTATCTAGTAGTTGTGACACATATTCAACAGTGCACTCATTATTATTCACCTTAGTGTTATCTTTACTCACTAAAGATAATACTTTATCTTTACTAAAACAATTACATGGAGAAAAAATATATTTTATATGTCCAAAAATATTCACGTTTTTTTTCATTCAGAAGTCAAAATATGATTTCTGTGTTTCCCTCAAAATTACCAGTCAACAGTGAATGCATTTATTGATCTGGAAGGACAGAATACTACTCAAATAACTTCAAATCTTTTCTTATATTTTCAGTGTCTCTAATATTTCATTTTTCTAATTTTTGAGTATGTTAATATTTTCAAGAAGATATGCTGGGTGGGGAAAAAGTAGGTTTACAGTTGTTCATATGTAAAATCATTAATAAATAATAATACAAGAATAAACTGGCCCTGGCCGGTTTGGCTCAGTGGTTAGAGCATCGGCCTGCGGTCCTGAGAGACCCGGGTTCGGTTCCCGCTAAGGGCGCGTACCTCAGTTGCAGTTTGTCCCCGGCCCTGGTCGGCCCTGGTCGGTCGTGCGGGTGGCAGCCACTCAATGTGTTCCTTTCACATCGATGTTTCTCTCTCTCTCTCTGTTCCTCTCTCTCCCTCCCACTCTACCTGAACAAAAAAATGGGAAAATGTCCTCGGGTCAGGATATTAAAAAAAAAAGAATAAACTGTTCTGTTCACTCACAACTGTAAACCTACTTTTGCCCCACCCTGCATAAGTCAAATATATTTAAACAATAACTATTACTTAATGATATTAACAAAGAATTAAGCCCCAATAACCTATTAAGCTACAGAGGGTCATAGAAATAACAGATTACTTTTGAATTGTCTTTGTATGGCAAAGGCCAATAAGTATCTCCAAAACTTTCAGTGGTTTAATTGGTAGTTTTCTTGAATATTTTCCTAAACTCCTAGGAGTTTAGACTTTTCAAAGTATTGCAAGAAAAGTGACTTAGTATTTTCTACTAAAAATGCCCAACAAGTGGGCACAAATTACAACATAAGTAGTATTTAAAAATCAGCAATAATGATGTGGTACTTTAAATTTAAAAAGTCAGCTCTCTCAAGAGGACACCTATTCTAGCACCTGCAAGTCTTTAACAATGATTTTTAAGTGTCAGTTTTAGGGGCTGTTGACATAACAGTCATTGCTGTGACTAGATGTTTCTGAGAGCTGACAATGAGAAGGACGACTCCCTGTCTCGCTGAGTGCGCTGAGTCAATGATATGAAGTACATAAAAGTTAAAATCAACAATGTGATGAATGTGGGCTGGCCCTCAGGAACATGTACAGTGAAGAATCATCTCAAACCTGATAATCAACTCAACATTTGTACATAGATGAAATATGGTAAAAGAGTAAGGGTGGAAGCGAGAGAAAAAAGACAGCAGGCGAGGGCACAGAAAGCTGACAAGGAATGTGAGAAGGATGTTGCAGGTAAGAGGGAGCCGGTCACTGGTCAGTGGCCTGTCCCAGACCTCGTGCATGGGGAGGAAGGCCTCAGGCTGGCTGCCTTTGCAGACAGGAGATGGGTTAGTTTAATGAGCAGTGGTCTAAGCGACCTCCTGCCCTGATCCATGCACTGTGATGGGAACATCAAGTCTCAGGATGACGACACTCTGACAGGAAGAACAATGCATAGTAAAAACATTTAGATGAACTCTGACAGCCCTCTACCAACTCATACATGCTGCATTACACATGGTGAAATGATCTGCAAACAGATAGCAAGCATCTCAATTAAATTCTCAGTAAAAATAAATTTCTCAACAAAGAGTTTGGAAAAAAACAATGAACAATTAAGTGGGAAAATATAGTTTCATTTCTCTTTTCTTTTGAACAGACATATTATTTGGAGTTATGATTAAATCTTCTAAAACTATGAAAAGAGTTGTTGGCCCATCTCTAGATTAAAAACAAACTGAAATAAATTAGATTTTATGTTGCAAAAAGTAACACGGTTCAACAACCTATGTGCCAAGTTTCGCTCATAATTTGAAACAGTTGAGCAATAAACTCTGAAAGGGAATCTCGAATGGAAGCTGGGAGAGCACTCGACTCCAGCTTTGCTACCGGGGCCCTAACGGATCCAGAAAGCAGGAGCTCAGACTCACCGGAGCAGGAGAAGCGCTCAGCGGCGCTGTGCGATGTACAGTCTAATACGAAACCTTAAGGAGCAAAAAATCTCTTTGCCGGGTTCCTTATACTTCATTTCCCAGGCACACAACTCCCTCGCCCCTCACTCCTAACCCTCAGTGACATTCCCTTCTTTGCTACAGTAAAGATAATGAATGCTAAAAAAAGCCTCTTGATTTTTTGAGGTAAAAGTGTTATAATATGGTACTTAACACTATTTGGAAGAGAAGGCTTTAGAGTACAGAAGCTAGGCTATGAGATTGTAGAAAGTAGTTAAGTAAAATATTTGGGAGCTAGAATAGAGGCTTTTTTTGAGTAATAGCTTCAGGCTGACTAAATTGGAGGATAGTTGAAAACCACCTTACGATTAAAAAAGTCCAGTTTTTTTTGTTCTGTTTCGTTTTGAACAGTGGCAGACATTCTGTAAGTATACTGCTGAAAGAAATATAGGTCATTCACAGCTCTTATAAGGGATACACAGGTAACAATCAGTATCAAGGTAGCCCTTTGAATAGGATTACAGAGGTTGCTAGTAAGTTAAATGGAATAAGTTTCACTAAAATAGCTGAGGAAAGCCAATTTGGAAGGTAATGGTTCCACTCAAAACTGCTACTTGAGTTCAGAGATGAACACAGCTCCCTGTTCTAAGACTGCACAGAGGAAAACATCTGTGTATGTTTACTTGCCTCTGGATCATATCTTTCTTGTGGTGTTGGGTCAAAATATAAATCAGACCTCGATGCTTTCTTCCTCTCAACACCCACAGAGAATGGAGGGGACAGTCATGTGAAGCTCTCCACACACACACGAGCAAACTCTCCTGAGCATGGAGGGCACACTCCCAGGGACTGGGTGGGGACAGGGAGAAACCAAACCCTGGCTCATCTTCTTTAGGGGATCATTTTGACGCTCAGGTTTAATGGATTCCAACTAATAAGGGAATTTGCTTCCTTCCTCTGAGGTGTTGTTACATTTTGGCTTTCCCTCCACTTTCACATATGAGAATTATATTCAGTACATCAAAAGCCCGATGGGCCCTGGCCAGTTTGGCGCAGTAGTTGGAGCATCGGCCTGTGGTCCAGAGAGACCTGGGTTGGGTTCCCACTAAGGGCACGTACCTCGGTTGCAGTTTGTCCCAGCCCTGGTTGGGTCGTGCGGGTGGCAGTCACTCGATGTGTCCCTTTCACGTCGATGTTTCTCTCTCTCTCTCCCCTTCCCACTCTATCTGAACCAAAAAATGTCCTCGGGGGAGGAAAAAAAAAAAAGCCCAACGGGAAATGTATTTATTGGCAATTTAGTTGCAAAAGTGAGCTGAAGACTTTGTATTGTTTTTATTTTTTGATAGAATTTTACCTAGTTAGTAATAACACAGGTTATTTCACAATTATCAGAAGCAATAGTTGGTATGATACAGTCTTTAAATAATTTAAAAAAGAATAAAATCAATACCACTTATTTAGTAGAAAAAATCTGTCAGAAACACAAGGTCCCTAGGAGTAAAAATGGCTGTTCTTTTTTTTTCTTTTAATCCTTATTTGAGGACATTTTTGCATTTATTTTCAGACAGAGCAGGAGGGAGAAAAGGGGGAAGAGAGAGTGAGAAACATCGATGTGAGAGAGACACATTGACTGGTTGCCACCCACACAACCCCAACCAGGGCCAGGGACAAATTGCAACCGAGGTACGTGCCCTTAACAGGAACCGAACCCGGGACTCTCCAGTCTGCAGGCGACGCTCTAACTGCTGAGCCAAACTGGCCAGGGCAAAAATGGCTGTTCTTTAAAAGGCAGGGAACCATGTACCCGGTTCAGTCTCCATGCCACTCTGAGGGGCTGCCTGAGGCTAAGGGAAGTAATGATTCGGCCAGAGTCCTTACGGGAGGGAGCCAACGCTGCAAACCAGTTCTGAGAGAACTTCTTCCCCCTCTTCTCAGCTGCTTCCTTCCTCTGAGGTGTTCCTACATTTTGGCTTTCCCTCCACTTTACATATGTATGCACTAACATGTTAGCTACTATTACTTGTGACAATTTCTGTGGTGAGAAATTGTCACAAGTGCTGAGAAAATGTCAAGCTGGTATCACACACACACAAAAATCTTACAAATATCAATAATAAAAAGCAAGGGATAAAAATAGGAATCTGAGAGATACTTTTCATTGGGAAAATTCTAAGGTATTCAAAACAACAGTAAGAGCTTGCTGAATATATTTTTAAAAAAATGACAGGTCACCTCCCTGTATAATAATGTTTGCATGGTTACCCCCGGCCCCAGTTACCCTTCCATCCGAGAACCAGATGTGCCTTCTAAATTAGGGGCGGGGCAATCAGACAAGTTCAAGTTGAAGGACATTCTGCAAACAGCTATCAATGGACTGCAAAAGAGGGGAACTGCTCTAGAATAAAGGAAACCTAAAAGATATGACAGTTAAATACAACACGAGCCTTGACTGGACACTAAATCAAAAAAAAGCAAAACAAAACAAAGACAGCTATTTAAACAAAACAGCTAGTTAGGACATACTGGGACAATCGGGAAGTTTGAATATGGACTGTGTAGCAGACGATGCCACCCTATCATTCATCGTTAAGTGCCCTGGATATGACAGCTGCACTGTAGTTATGTAGGAAGGTGTCCTTGTTCCTAGAAGATACTTAGAAGTGCAGAGGGTGAAGTGAAACATCCACTTAACTCTCAGATCTGAGGAGCGAAGGAGAGGGAGGAAGCATGCAGAATGCAGAACAGGCTTGTGTCATTCCCACATACGCAAAGGGGTGAAAGGCATGTGAGTGTTCTCACTGCTATTCCTACAACTTTCCTGTAGATTTGCCATTTTTTGAAATGAAAAGTTGGGGAGCAACGTCCCAATGCCAGGAAGTAACCTGTGCCGTGCGCAGAGGGAAGTGGAGCCCGTAGCCAAGCGGAGTCTCCCGCTGCACGACTGCAACAGGCCTGCTTGAGGACTTGGTTTGCTCTCAACCAAAGGGAAGAAGGCAAGTCAGAATATCTGCAACGCTTATGGGTTAAATTTCCTCCACTGGGACATTATGGCACTGACATGATTTTTAATTAAGAAGATAAACACCCTGACATGTACTTTAAAAAGAAACACAGTACAAACTAGTTACACATTTGGTAAGAGTATAAATATTTTTGGAGTTGAAAAAGTCAATAAAAGGTAAAATCATTCTGATTTTAATGTTCATATACATGTGTTCACTGGTTACTGCTGTGCATTTAATTTAAGACGGCCTTTTTAATAAGCAGAAAATGTGCATTTTTATATTGTTTAAATTTTAATATGGACTTTTGTTCAAAACAACACAGACATTCAGGCTACTTGTAAATGATACAAGATTTTTTGCTAATGAGGCATTATGTAGAACATATGCAAAAATCACAGCTCAGTCTTCCAAAATAGACCACAATAACAAGAAAAAACACGATTTTAATAAAAAGGAGCAGCACTGGGCTTTTACTTCAAAGCAATTAAGGGCTTTGGATAACCAAAAGTTTATGTCAAGCTGATGCCAAACCAAACTGGTCTATTAAACACAGACTGTGAAGAGTTTCTGTAATATTCTACGAGAGGGCTCTTTGCCATGAATACCCAGCCCCATGCTCAGCAGATTACAACTATGTTGGGTTCATGTTTGAGAACAAGGAGTCCAACATCCAGATCAGACTTCTAGAATTTCAAATCTGAAATAATGCATCCATGAAAGACAAGTTCAAATATGTTTTCCATTTTGTAATTTTTCTCTACAGTAAATTATACCAAGTTTTATATTATCCCCAACATTTTTTTCAACAGTTTTCCATTAGTCTCAAAAAAATAAATAAATAAATAAAACCAAAACCCCAAACTGCTGTTACACATAAAACTCTGAGCTATGTGTAAACATATAAGAAAACAGAAAGAGTTGAAGCCCCTTATTTGAAGTCATTTCTTCAGTTTTCAACAATTGTATTTCAAGAAACAATATGCCATTCAGTACAGGTACCCTTCCTTCTAAGAAAATAACATGAATTTTTCAATTTTATAAAATCAGTGAGGTAGGGTACAAATTGGTTTATTTCTTTGGTCTTGGCAAACAAAAGTGCCTTTTCCTGTAATTCTTATTTTGTCTTACTTCTTATTTATTTATTTTTTTATCCTTACTCTGAGGATATGTTTATTGATTTTAAAGAGGAAGGGAGATAGAGAGTGAGACAGATGATTGATAGATAGATAGATAGATAGATAGATAGATAGATAGATAGATGGATGATAGGAAAACATTGATTGGTTGCCACTCATACCTTCCCCTACTGGGGATCGGGGGATTGAACCCGAAATTTAGGCATGTGCCCTGACCGGGAACCAAACCCACAAGTTTTTTGGTGTATGGGATGATGTTCAACCATCTGAGCCACACAGGCCAGGGCAGTAGTTCAGTTTTTAAGATAACTCTTGTATGTGTACATATTGGTGTCTCTTGCTGACAATATTTAGTAATACCTGTGTATTACTGTTTCTTGTGCTGTTCTAGTCTCAGGACTAGAAGACTTTTGGATCTCCCATTCATTGAACATCAAACACTCTAGTTCCTAGATGATCATATTCCTTTGGAACAGGGAACAACAAACACTGTGTTTGTTGTCGATGCTACTCTTTGGGAATTTAAGAAATATACCAGAGAAAGTGAAGCTGATGAGAATGGGCTCCAAGCCTGGGCTTGGCTAAAGAGCAGAATTTTACATTCAGATAACATGCTGAATATAGCTGTAGGCAGTTTACCAAGATCACCACACGGCGTTGGGGTCTGCTCCTTCTGCACCATTCCTCACCAGGAAACACTGCCTGGTCTTCCAAGAAGGGTAAGTCTAAATCAGTTCTTCATAGGGGAACATGAATACCTCCTAGGTATTCAATCTGGTTCAAAGCCAGGGTTCAAATTATATCCCCTAATATATATATAATTCTAAAAAATATTCATATTTCTTTTGCCCTGAACTTAGGAACATAGATAAATGTCACAAAATATATAGAATTTCATTATATAAGTTAATTTTATAAATTTTTAGAAACAGAAATTATGAAAGATAGTACTAATCTTTTAAATGTCTGTAATATAAAGTTTTTCATACATTTTTAATCCCACTCTATTTTTTTTAAAACAAATCTCACATTATGCATTATTTCTTAGCTTTTTCAAATATTACCACGTAGAGTTAGTTTGTTAAAGAAGATTAGACTCTGAATCTGAAATGAAAAACCAGAAAATCTTCCTTGGTTCTTCTAAATGAGACCCTAGCCACATAGCATGGTATCACATAAACTGGAAAGGGGAAAACAAACTGAGGATTTAGGTCTGGTTTAAAAAATACATTAAGAGAGAAATAAAATAGATATCACAAGTGCAATGTATAGGCCGTATTTGGACTCCAATTCAAACGAACAGTAGAAAAACATCTTCAAGGAAGTTTGACTATGAACTGGTTATTGGCTAGTATCTAGGAATCGCTGTTTTTGTTACATATCATCATGACATGCTGGTTTGTAAGGTGTGATCATGGCATGGTGGTTATGTTAAAAGAAAATTCCTTATCAGACAGAGATATATACTAAAGTATTTACAGGTGAGATGATATAACATCTGGCTAAGGCTAATTAATTGAAGAAAATAAAGGAGAAGGGATAGATGAAACAAGATTGGCAACATGCTGATAATTGTTAAACCTCAGTGATGGATACATGGGGGTTTAATACACGATTCTCTTTACTTTTGGGTATGCTTAGTAACAACAACAACAACAAAATAAAACAAAAAAAGAAAAGCCATAAGAGAAAGAAAATAATTCAAAGAAGAATATGAAAAGTCTTGTGGGAGGCACACTGAAAGCACAAACGAGAGAGCAGGTATTAGGAAGCAGAGAACGAAAAAGGTGCGCATCATACAAGCTCAAAGATGAAGAGGCAGCAGGGCGACTATGAAGGGCCCCTGGCATCCATAACAATCAAAAGCATTTGATACAAACTTTGAATATGAGGAGAGGTAACGCCTTTTGGGGATTAAAAAAACTGGTACCATGTTAGGAATTTACTACCTTTTAAGGTTGACAAAAAACTTAAGGCTGGACTTCTTCACAAGGTATGCAAGCAGCTGAGTCTTTGTCCTTGTCCTACACAGTTCTCTCAGTGGGTACAATCAAATGGTGTCAGACTTCCTACAGTCTTGGCAATGGGGCCAATGAATGGAGTCAACAAGATGAGGCTGAGCAGCTCTGGCTGGTGTGGCTCAGTGGCTTGAGGGGCATCTGTACACCAAAAGGCTGCCAGTTCAATTCTCAGTCAGGTGCACACCCGGGCTGCAGGTCCGATCCTGTCGAGGAGTGTGCTGGAGGCTACTGGTGATGTTTCGCTCTCCCCTCCTTCTCTCCCTCTCCAAGAGATCAATAAAATCCTACCAGCAAAGACGAGGCGAGCAGTCAGGGAAACGGCCCTCAGCCTAGAGATGCTGGTGGCAGCGCGGCTGGAGCAGGCTTTCGTGAAGGGTGTGGAGTAAAATGTGATTTCTAAGTAGACTTGACTTATCCTTCTATGGCACATAAAAATGTATTTTAACAAATTTTGACCTTATCAAAGTGATACTTCTGTTTTAACATACCTCTGATCTGTGGCCTGCTGTTCTCGAAGCTGAAGAAGAGATAACTCAATTTCATTTTCTTTTCTTCGCAACTGAGTTTTCAGGATCTCCACCAAGTGCTCTAACTCTTCTATCTGGTCTCTCTGTGACTGAATAACCTCTTCTCTGAAATAAAGACCCTTCATGTGAATGTGCAGTTTGAGGAAATTTCCTTAGTATTTACGATCAGTACAAAGAAAGTTCTTCATAATTAAGAGTAAGCAAAAGTAAAAATGTTAGCTTAAGTGCCTTTGCAACATAGGAAAATAGTAGCAGGTTAATGGTGACGATCTACACAGGGAGAAATTCAAGATCCTCTTTATAAGATAATGTCCTAGGCGATGGGTGGTGGTTAGAGTCAGTTGTTAAGTATTTATTGTTCACCTATGTTGTGCTCCAGTCAGTTCATCTTCAGCTAATTTCTATGCCTTTGTCCTTTCATTTGGGTGTCCTATACCACTCAAATGAACACTTCACAGAGAGATGGCAAAAATTTTGCAAAACATAATTAAGTGGTCTCTAGCACATGTTTATCTCTACTGTGTCTGGCAGCATCCCAGTGTAATGAGCCTCAGGAAACTGGTGTGAACCCGGCTTTTCAGCTGACCAACAGGTTAACAAGATATCTAGTCTTTCAGTTTCTATTCTCTCACAGTATAATCATCACTGTACCTGGCATTTAAAATATTAAAAAAAAAAAAAGTTAAGCGCATATGATTCTTTAGCAACTATCTCAAGTATGATCCTCTGCCTCATGTTTTCATTCCTCATTCAGAACTGGTTCTTGCTGATGATCCAGGTGAAGGCCTATAAATAAGGTGGAACCTCTTCATTTGTGTGACTCACAGACACTGAAACCATGAGGCTTTGATTAACTGGAAAAGTAAGCAAAATGGGGCAGGTGTAACTTTTTTGAAGCCATAGTATGATGAAGAATGCAGTACCATAAAAGAACAGTGAAACAAAGTCTAAAATCCATATGTATTTGATAACTCCAAATTTTTAAGCCACTGCCTCCAATTTTTTTTTTAAGCACAAAAAGGCTAATTAATTCAGGACTAAAAAAAAAATTACCTGTAATTTTTCTGAGAATGAAAATGTTGCTTCTAAATGAATGGACTTCATGCCATTTCTTTGGGGTGGGGGGAGGATTACAATAAAGAGGACTATTCTAGCTCTGGCCAGTTTGGCTCAGCAGTTAGAGCATTGGCCTGTGGACCTAAGAGTCATGGGTTCAATTCCGGTCAAGGGCTCGTACCTCCTTGCGGTTCGTCCCCAGCCCTCATTGATGTTTCTCTCTCTCTCTCCCTCTCCCTCCCTCCCTCCCACTCTACCTAAAGATAAATAGAAAAATGTCCTCAGGTGAGAATTAAGAAATAAAAAAATAAAAGAGGACTATATAGTATATAGTATATGTTCAGATCTAGCTGTAATTTGGTAGAGCAAATTATTTATACATAAACCAATTTTGCTTAAAATAAAGAGAAATAAAACCAGCAAAACAAAAATATAATCAATAAACAAAGTTCTAAAATGATCACAAAAAGAATACATACAAATTTCTTATTTCTCCTCTTGCTTCTTCAAGTAAACTGTCACCATATTTTGTAAGCATGGGTTGATCTACATCTACATCTTGAAATCTAATACCTAAAAGTAAACGAGTAAGAGATCACAGAAGTTAGAAAAGAGGACTCTTGACTTGGTATCATAGGAGATGTGTAATGTGACACATTTTCTTAAGTACTGAGACAGATGTGTTCTATAGTACAGAGAATGAGAAATTCGTTGCCAAAGGGACTATTAGATCTTAGCCACCAGTTGGTGTTAAATCACACATAGCAGCAAGTATAGCCCCTTTAACAAATTCTACTATGGACACCAAATTACCTAGAAATAATTTGATTCAACTTAGATTATAGACTCCTGATATAATTTCTGAAAGAACCAAAGTCTTCAATTCAGGTCTTTACAATATCAATTGAAGTATGAAAGAAAAGGTTTCAAAAACTTGACTTTAAAAAAACAGTATTTTTGATAAATGTTTCCTGTACTTTGGTTTACTCCACCTCAATAATAAAGTCCATATATAAACAAAGGTAATTTGAGAAGAGATCATCAATAGGATTCCTTTAAATGAAACATTTTGCTGCTGCACTTAAAATACATGTTCTTATAAAAATAGTTATGTGCAATTTCATAAACCTGATACCATTGTTAAAAATTAAACATACTTTTATTTATTTTTAATTTTAAAATCTTTATTGCTCAAAGTATTACAGATGTCTCCCCTTTTTTCCATTTACCCTCTCCTCCCTGCTCCCACCCCCCCACCTGCTTTCCCCAAACTATTGTCTGTGTCCATTGTAAACATACTTTTAATCACATGAATTAGTTTACACTTAGAGGATGATTAAATTATTAGAGTTTAAGGTGGATAAAATATGACACAGAATTCAATTATTAGAGTTCAAGGTAGATAAATTATGATAATTTAGTTTTTAATGGTACATAATCCCAGATATAAAAGTACATAAAAATTCCATCTCTTTAGAAATATTTATGCTTTTAAAAAACAAAATGGTACTGTTATTCACTAGTTTAGTCTCTGCCTAAAATATTAAAATAGTTTAGTGTTAAAATTTGCCAATTATATTATTTTTGCAGTAATGCTAATTCTTAAGCATTTCCTACATAGGTCATGGAAAAACTAAACATCACTAGTGGGATTAAAAAAACCTACTTAGCCTGGCCAGTGTGGCTCAGAGGATTGAGCGTCAACCCATGGACTGAGGTCTCGATTTGATTCCAGGTGGGGGCACATGCCTGGGTTTTGGGCTCAATCCCCACCAGGGGGCGTGCAGGAGGCAGCCAATCAATGTATCTCTCTTACATCGATGTTTCTCTCTCTCTCCCTTCCTCTCTAAAAATCAGTCAATCAATAAAAAAATATACAAAAGTAAAAATGCTTCAAAAAACCTATTTATACTAAAAATATTTCTTAAAACTATAGTCTCATGGTGAGTTGCCAATGGTTTTTTTTTTTTTTTTTTTGAATATTTTTTTCTCTTTATTGATGTTAGAGAGAGAGGGAGAGAGAGAAATATCGATGAGAGCAAACATCTACTGGCCACCTCCTGCATGCTCCCACTGAGAAGCAGGCCCACAACCTGGGCATGTACCCTGACCAGGAATCGAACTGGTGACCTCTTGGTGCATGGGTTGATGCTCAACCACTGAATCACACTGGCTGGGCCCCCAATGGTTATCTTTTAAAACACATACACTTTGTAAAAATCTTTGTTCTTCACAATGAGAATTGTTTCTACATTATAATGATCACACCTTGAGCAGGTACTGTCATGCTTTATCTTGACAAGGCACAAATAGAAAATGATATTTGTATAGCAGCTTGGGGGTAAAGCCCATCTGGCCAGAGAAGGTCTGGAGTTCTCTCCTCGATCCTAGCTAGGCTGCACTGTTTCTGACAAGTCTGGCCTAATTGCAGAATCAAAGGTCGTCTTTAAGAATCTAATAAAGTTGCTATGGTATCAACTTTGATAATGATGCTTTAAGTATACTCAGAAAGATAGTGGTTAAAAAAGTATTTATCACTATTTAATACTTTGTGCAGCTTCTATGTCTTGGACTCTGTACCAAACATAAAAAATATCTGAATTACTGAGTCTAAATACAAGGAGAAATTCAAGCGATATCGTTATATCTTACACTCTGCTGCTCTGTGGCTTTTTTTCCTATAGGGAGAAAGTCCAACCAAAATCTTCTATTTAAACAGCATTTCCTAGCACTAGATTAGTTTGCACTATTAATCTAACATGTGGGCATTGTGTTAGTCTGAAAGACCTTGCCGACCTTAGAGATCAGCTTGCCCAGCTATAGTCACAGGTGACCAAACTGAGGTTCAGAGAGGATCAGTGACTTTTTTTTTTTATCTTCACCCGAGGACATTTTTTCATTTTTTGTTCAGATAGAGTGGGAGGGGGAGGGAGAGAGAGGAAGGGAGAGAGAGAAACATCGACGTGAAAGGGACACATCGAGTGGTTGCCACCCACACAACCCAACCGGGGCCGGGGACAAACTGCAACCAAGGTACGTGCCCTTAGTGAGAACCGAACCCAGGTCTCTCTGCACCGCAGGCTGATGCTCTAACCGCTGAGCCAAACCGGCCAGGGCAGGATCAGTGACTTTCTAAAGGTGAAATATATTATTGTGGAGCTACCATTTCCTAACCTTTTTTCTAATCTGATGTTATCACTCCATTTTACAGATGGGGAAAACGAGGCCCTGAGAAGTCAAGTGCTCTCTTCCATGTACAACGTCAATGAGTGCAGAATGCATTTTCTGGTTTAGAATTCATCATGACTACTTCGGTTATATTGAGTCTACTGCCATCTCACATAGTGAGGGGTAGCCAAGCTCTTTCATCCTGCAGCTGCCTCCTGCCTGTGTGGAGGCCTTGCTGACTTCAAAGGAACTCTGTCTAGGGAATAAAGTGTTAACATTTTGGCTTGAAGAAAAAAATAGAACAAATTTTTCTCCTTTTCTGTTCACATGGTGTTTTTTTTTCTTTCTCAATGAACTGAAATGCAAGTTTTACATCATTTTTTATGTCCCTAAAAATGTTTGGTCTTTATGTGGAGTGTATTCCAAACGAGGATCAATTAGAGCTAAAATTTTATTTCCTTTCCTACTAGTTGAAATTACAAATGTGTTACTTAAAATATTTACTGACTTTTTGCTTCATTATAAATACAGTTTGTTTGTGGGTGGAGAGAACTGGAATTTTATTAGAAATATTTAGGTTCCTTCTATAATGAATCTTATGTATACAATTGAATTGCTTTGTAACCTGGGTAGGTTTTAGGTGATTCATTTTCAAAATCTAAATAGTGATTGGCCTATGATCATTTTTGGAGGTGGAAGAGACCCATTTGGTCCCTTGCTTAAATCCTTTTATTTTACATGTAAAGACAACTCAAGTTCAGAATGACTGGAAGATTTGTCCAAAGTCACCATATAAGTGGAGGAGCAAGAACCTAACTTTTTAAACTCACGATGTGTGCACACTCCAGCCACACTACCTCCACACAATGAGAAAGATTTACACAATTTTGCAAATTATAAGCAAACTAGCTGGTTTCCCCATTTGCCTGTGTCAGTGTGATTTGCTTCTGTAAAAAACTAAAAAACCACAACTCAAACTGAACTGAACTTATATTTCATGTAGATGTCTCATGTCAGTTAGAATGAAGTTATGTTCAGTGTTTTACTAAACAAATTTAAGTGTGAACTAACGATTCTTAAATAAAACAATCTTCATGTTAATTAATGTTTTTATCAAAAAGCAAGTCCAAAATCGATTTTTCTTCTTCCTAAAGAACCTTAAAAACATGAATAATACAGAAATAAAACTCTGTCGGTATAAAATGACCCATTAAAAGACTTAAGTTTAGGATTTATGGAAGCTCTCTTTTACCTTTCTTGGGGCATTCCTGTGAGCCTGTGTTCCCATTTGCTTTTCTACGCCCAGTGTTTACACGAGACTGCACATAACTGTAAGGAGTTTGCCTGCAACCCTGGATTTGAAGCTGCTGTTTGGCTGAAATTAGTCTGTTTTTGAGGACTTCGTTTTGTCTTTCAAGCTCATGAACTTTCTCCTGTAGCTGCTCAATCATTTCTTCCATTTCCACATCTCGTCCCAGCCGCTTGGGGCCGCCACCAACCCGCTCATATCTTTTCTTGTCATTAACTAGCCGTATTAACTTGGTGGCCATTCTAGGGAAATAATAAAAAGATGAAAAGGAATGTGAGAAGTCAGCATAAAATGCATTCTGTTGAAAGGAACATAATCACTGTGAAGACTTCAGTGCAGAACCTGAATAATAAATTTCAGGTTTTGATGTAACTATTACTGCCTGTGAAGAATCCTTTGATGATAATTGAAACCACTGGGCAACAATCTGCTTTATAGCACTGACAAATAACAGTTTCCTAAGGCTTATCATTTAAGGTTAGTAAAGAGAGGACACATATTTACTCCATATGTTCCTCAAATGCAATTTTTAACGCATGACCTTATGTAGGAATGCTGTATGCACTTAAATGTAGCTACAGGTTGTGGATGTGGCAGCTTCTATCTGCAAGCCACAGTAAGTTAAAACTTTTGAAAAGTGTGTTAAGACTACGCAGCATTTATGTGATATATTGTTTTCGGTTTCTCTAGGATTGAGACATACTACAAATATAAAACTGTTAGAATGCATTGATACACACATATAAAAAGCCCAATGAAAAATTCAAAAGAAACCAAAACGTGCCATTAAATGTTGCTTAGTGCTCAAGAAACATGCCTGTTTTATGGTAGAAAATAATTAGATGCAAAAAGTATTATTTTAATGTTACCCTTAGGTTTTGACATAAATTGTGCTTTTGACATCTCAGGAGTTAATACCTTTGATTCTTTTAAGTTTTGACAAAAACTGCTTAGACAGAACAAAAGACAGAAAGGGCACATGAGGGTGATGTAATATACACGTACAGAAAACATGCCTGACAGTGAATGGAAAAATCTTGGCAGGACAAGAAAGAAAAGGTGGCTTTGATGAGAGACACAAGTTCAAGACTTTACAAAATTGGTCGCACATCTTCAATAGCTGATTCTAGTTTATAGTGAATCTATTTTTATAAGGACCCAGACAGGAGATTGAAAATAAAAACTCACTTCATTTTTCTTTAAATGGGGTTTGCTTTATTTTAGCATGGTTATGGACAGAAGCTTTTACTTAAGAGAACAAAAGTGAAGTAAAAAAATCCTTAATAGCTTTGGGATGTCCTAGAACAACCTCTTTTTGCCCTAAGCGGAGTCCTCTGTAAAAGCGGTAGTAATACATGTCTATCTACACTTCTGGCTTCTCGGCCTACAGCATGTGGCACCAGGGAGAGCTATGCAGAACATAATCAGTTAAGATTGTTTTCTCTTTCCCTTGAGGCACATCCATTAAACATGCTTTATAAGGGATCCAGGATAATAAAAACCAAGATCCAAGAGTACCACAAACACCCTAGTAAAATAATCAATGGATTAGTTCCTTTTCCACCTAATCCAGAGAATGATATATCATTGGGAAATTTGGGCAGGTGTCATAGCCCGACAGAGCCACAACCCTTCATAGCCTTTTATCAAGTTTAGGGTCCTAAGCCTCACCCCAATGGCTTATCCCTAGAAATGTGTTAGTCACCTAAGTGGGATGTCGACCTAGATATCTGAATCTTCTGTTAGAGAAACTGAGAGACAGAGATTACATTCAAAAGAAAGACATATATTTAATATGCAAAAGCAATCAACATCTAGAAAAAAATTAATGACCCCACTTTATAAGTCAAGAAAAGCACATCAATAGAGTGGCTTCAAATTCCTTCTAAGATGTTCAAGTAAACTTTGTCAAGAAACATAAGATTGCATTTCTTTCTCCAGTAATAGCAATAACTTTCATTTGTTTATTTTATGATGTTAATGAATCATAAACGATCAGGTGAAATTTGAGTACTTACTTGAAAAGGTGGTTTATCAAATCTACATTTGTACTACAGTGACGCCAATTATATCTTAAGGATATATTTAAAGGCAGTTTGCCTAGGTATCTAGGTAGTGTCAGTGGTGTGACACTGAGAAGGAATTTAGAGCTCTGGGTCACAACGGTCATTAGATCATTGCTCTTGGGTCTGAGTAAAATACAACCCCAGGAGGTTAATGGCTTGAACACACCACACGCCAGTGGCAGAGAGGTAAACAGAACACGTACGTACAGCTTGACTCCCAGCCCAGTCCTTTTTCCATTAAACTACATGGCTCATTATTACGTTATTTTATATTTTCTGGCTAGGACAAATTACTAATGAGGTCAAGGTTGTGAATTCAATTTTTACTGACCAATTACGCTTACAAAGAAAAAGAATTGTTTAGTGGTGATAGACTACATTCCTCATTCTGACAGGCTGATGTGTATGTTGCTGGTCAGAAAAAGAATCAGGCAAATGAGTCACATGTCTTGAAAAAAGACATCATGACTCAAAAACCCAACTCAAAGTAAAAGCCCCGCACACACCAGGTGAGTATTAATGGGAGCATTAAAATGAAGTCCACAGAGTGGCAACTGAACTAAAATCACCCCGTTAGAATAAATTCTGAGCAGAAAAAAAACCCATCTTTCTTGGCTCTCTCACCTTTTCATTGAACCCAAAACATAAATATGAACACAGACCTCTTCCTGCTTCTAGATATGAATGCACTTTATCCATTCAGAAGATAGTCATAGTGTTTCTGAATAAGAGAGAATGAAGTAATATCTACCCTTAAGAAAGTATCTCTGCAGAAATTTTTGCTTGCAAATCAGAAGTGACACTCTTTCTTCGGAAACAGTTGAGACTCTGAAATCAATATAGACTCTACTTGACTAACTCAAGCAAAGTTAAATATGTTCCAGATATTGAAGTAATGTTTTCATTAGTAAACCCTAAGTTTTAAGGACACATGCATTTTAACAAGTTAAAATAGCTAATTACTTTTTAAAACTTTCATTTTAAAATCAAGACATTTAAAAAACAGATGCTTTGGCCATTTGCTTATTAAACTGTAAATATTAAACCCAAAGTTATTTATAGATATGATACATGCATGGCACTCTTAGCTAATAGCTCTTCCTTTCAAATAGCAACTTCAGGCATAACAAACACTCATAATCTTTTTGGTTTATTATTCTAGTTTGTAAGAGTTTCCATTTTTAAAAAATTGTATTTATTTACAACCTGCCTGACTACAAAAAGGATTCAAGGTGGAGTTTTCAATTAAGTTTATAAAAAAGCAAATCCTCCAAACTTTACAGAGTCAGGAAAAAAAAGCTCAAAGCTTTTTATCATAACCTTTTAATTTTATCCTCTTGCTTGCGGGCATGCTGTTTAAGTAAAATGTTCTCATCATGCAAACGCAAAAATCTGTCTTCCAGTTCCTCACGACTGATCCGTGACACAGCCTGGTGAGACTTCATCGTCCGTGTTGTTGAAGTTTCTGCAAAAATAGCAGGTCATTAATAGTGGGATTACTTAAAATAGTCTCTAAAAATGATAACTGTTAATATCAATATAAAATCTGATGCACTCATCTCAGATTTTTTCCCTTTGTGACCTACAAGTAAGACTGCTTTGGAAAATATTACAGCATTATTCACATCACTGATTGGAGGTGAGAATAAAAACCTTTGCTAGTAATACTTTATATGCAATAGTAAAGGATGTGAACAATAATAGTATCCACTCAAAAATGTATTCAAATAACCATTCTTTAAGATGTAAGCTGGAACTCTGATATAATAAAGGCTTTTTGATTTCTATACTGAATGTTGAAAAAACTAAATTAAAAGTATTTTTTAAACAAAGAATTATAACAATAATTTGGTGAACATAACATGATCAAGATATTTTTCTGAGCCATGGGTGTTGGGTTATAGAAAATAAACTATAAATTTTGTAAGACAAGACCAAAACAAAAAAACAAAAACCCAAAAACACTTCACAAATTATTTATAATCTATCTTAAATATTTTTGAAGAACTTTTATACCTTTTAGCATGTGTATATGATATTTTTTACATATGCTTAAGTTTGGTACTTTCCATATCACTGGGAAGTCAGTCGATTTTCAGCAATCCTCCAAAAGAAACAAAGAACAAATGGACACAGATTAAAGCCCTCTGATGGGTAACTGAGGGCAGAAATTGAACTTAGGGTATCCAATCCCAATAAATAGCTTTGCACACTTAAAGTTTATTTGTATTTCAATCCCTGACACTCGGCCAAAAATCTAAAGGAAAACTTACATGCATTTTTTACTTTTAACAATAAAAGCTGTACATTCAAATTTCATTTTGCAATGAACAATGCACTGACCACCATTGTGTGGTAGTTCAAGGTGACCACTCGCACTCTTGTGATTAACAGGTGTATGAACATGCCTTAGTGGGAATATACTTTACATCACAGCCTTCTCAATGACAGATGCAGTGGCATGACTGCACGGCTGACACACTGTATGCACAAAGGAAAACACAGCTCAACACTCTGAACTGTTCCTTAAAGCTGTGCTTTCCTTTCTTAATTTGAAAGTGCTTTTTGGCTCAATGCAACCACTAAGACATAAAAGGATACAGAAAACCTTTAATGTATATTAATTTGATAAATCAAAGTCAATATCACTTGGATAAACAAACCATTTTGAGATACTCTACTTGAAAGACAAAAAATTTTAAATATGGCATTTCCTCCCATATAAAATTTAAACGTAAAGAAACATTTTAATGGCGAATGTGATTTAAGCCAGGCAATTCGGTTTGGAGGCTTGATACCCTCTGTAGTTTCTACTGATGTGTGGAATTTTAAAAAGATGATTTATAACAATTCTTTATCAGAACAGAGGGGGATTTTACATTTTCTATGAGCTGTTGATAATTGATGCATGCAGTAAAATACCATATGTTGTTCTAAACACTCCATCCTCTCGTTTAGTCCAATCAAGAGCTATATAGTTACTTAAATGGCTTCGTTTGTATAAATATCAAAAATACTTTAAATTAAAAGTAAAGAAGTTACTGATCAAAGTTCATAACTGTAATAAATAACAGCTGGCCATACCTTGTAACCCTCCCACTCCAAAGAGGTTTAGACCTATATCTTTCACAGGCAAGTCTCCTGCAGTCTCATCAGTTGGACCAGACATGGCCTATCTGTGGAGAAAAGAAAATTCAAATAAAATCTTTCCAAGTTATAACATTAACTATGCAAGGGAATGAACCAAATAAAATGAATAAGGCACTAGAACTTTAATGGACATCTTATTGCCCACATGTGCAGCTTGATGAAGATGAAAGCTTCTATTTTAAAAGTAATACTACATTGAATCATGAAGACAGTGTTCCTTTCAACAGTATATTTCCTGTAGTTTGCTTAGGAAATGAGGTAAGATTATCATTCTTCCTTCTCTCTTCTTTTTCCTCTATCTGAAACAAAAATAAACTCCCCTAAATTTAGAAACACCTCCTTTCCATCCCCCACCCCCTTCTCTGTCTCCATAGGAAAGCAGATATTTTGGAAAAAATTCAAGTCAGGAACTTGATTTAAATGGTTGTTCTATTACTTAGCAGCTGGTCAAGTCACCTAATCTTCCTGAGTTTCAGTTCTTTAATTTAAAAGTGGAAAAAATAATACCTACATCACAGTCAGGGTAAGTAAGATGGTAAATTAAAAGCATTAGCACATCTGCCTGGGATGACAATATTACTTATTAATTTTCAGCGTAATGCACAAATGAATGGGTAGTTCCAAGTTTTGCAAAAGAGGTTTCATAAATTCACCAACTGTGTTGGTTTTTGTTGTCTCTGGTCCTGGTTTGTCCTGTCTAGGTCCCAGGACTTCCTCCTTCAACATACAGGCCGTCCAGCTAATTCTGGCATTTTTAGAGGTTCTATTCTTTATAGAGATGCACCACAGTGGCTTAGTTTTGTATGCAGATGTGAGTGGTCCATGAAATGTCTAGTATGCTAAAAAAAAAAAGATTTTATATTTTAATTTCAATCTACCAAATGCAAATTGTCAGTGGAGATGCCCTAAGGCAGAGATTCTCAATCTCTAAAATGTTGGTTCTACAATGTAAAGTCCAAGAAAGTAGCAAGCTTATTGGTCTTGTTCACCTCTGTATTCTCAGAGGCTGGCACAGAGCTGAGTATATAGCAGACATCCCTAACTAGCTGTAATGAATGAGTGGTGTTCATAGTTTCAGGGTCTGTAGACCCAGAGACGGTTTACAAAATCTCCTGTGCTTATGTGTATATGCAATATCTTTTAGAGAGTTCATAACTTTTATGACAACCGATCAAAGGTTGAGAACCTCTGCATTTTGCTGTGACATAAATAGCTAACAGACATATGCCTGGGTGGTCATCTGGTTCTTCTGCAAACAGTGCTACAGAAAAGGTCAATTTTAGGAACCAAATTATCAAGAAGTTTAAACACAGAACACCTGTAAAAAAGGTAACTTTTCCGTGATAGTTTATGGTAACTTTCATAATAACAATAATGATGATGGTGTTAACATTTATTGAGTGCTTACTAAAATGTGCCTGGCACTCTTCTAAGTGCTCTGTTTATGTGAATTAATTAAATATCTCACAATACCCTTGTGAGGTTGTTATCCCAATGATTCCTACTTTACAAATGAAGAAACGGGGACACAGCTTAGGTAACTTGTCCAAGGTTACACATCTAAGAAGTAGTGAGTGGCCTAGTTATTTTCTTAATTGTCACTACTGGGAAGAGAGAGTGTTACTGGCATCTAGAGGTCAGAGATGATGCTAAACATCCTATAATGCACAAGAATCACAACAGTTACCTGACCCAAAATGTGAAAGAGGGCCCTGGCTGGTTTGGCTCAGCAGTTAGAGCGTCGGCCTGTGGTCCGGAGAGGCCCGGGTTCAGTTCCCGCTGAGGGCATGTACCTCGGTTGCAGTTTGTCCCTGGCCCTGGTTGGGTCGTATGGGTGGCAACCACTCGATGTGTCCCTTTCACATTGATGTTTCTCTCTCTCTCTCTTCCTCTCTCTCTCCCTCCAGCTCAATCTGAATAAAAAATAGAAAAATGTCCTCCAGTGCAGATAAAAAAAAAAATTAAAAAAAAAATGTGAAAGAGGTTGAGAAACTTGTGCAGTGCTGCAGTGCCTCTAACACCATCTCATCTATCCCTCCTTGCTCACACTGTTGTCCTTGAGGTTCCTCAAATCCATGGTACTCTTGCCTTGCTCAAGGCCTTTGCCAGCTCCTCATTCTTTGGGGCTCAGCTCCAACCTCACTTCCTTGATCATTTTATGTTAGAGTACTCTTCCAATTTCTTCACTGTTTATTTCTGTTATTGCAATTACCTCTATCTGAAATTATTTGTTTTATTAGTTCTTTACTAGTTTGTATTCACTAATAAAGTACGAATGAACATCTTTAGACGGGTATCTGTCCTGCTCACAGTTGGTTGGGTACAGTGCCTCACACAAGGTGGGTACTAACATTAATATTTATTGAACGAATAAATGAATATCTGGCACTGAGACTAAAATGGTAAACAGCCTCTGCCTTTATGCAGTTAATAGGCTATAGGGTAATAAGACGATAAACAGATCAATAATTAAACAATAGGTCACTGGGGAGGCTTAAAGGTGTACTAACCAATTCCTAACCCAGGTTAAACAGGCGGACTGTGTTCATGTAACCTTCTGCTTGAAGAAGGGCTTGAATAAGCGCTGCACTCAGTATCAACCGTCATCAGCTAGGGTTTAGGTCTGGGATACAAATTTTCAACCGGGTGCTGGGCTTGGAGGGTAATGGGCGGGCTGTGGCTCAGGCCTGACGATGTGGGGGGTGTCTCGTGCTGGGCTACCTTTCACGCGGGCAGAACTCCGGGGCCTTCTCCAGGCCGTAGAGCAGACCCCGGGAGCCCGGTCGGTGCTCCAAGTTGGGGGTCGACCACCTCTATCGCCCTCTGCTCCCCCAGCGTACTCACCGCCACTCTCTCCCCGCGGCTAGCTAACCGTTGCTATAGCGCCGACAGCGTGTTGCGCCGCCGGCCGAGAGAAGCTCGGGAAAAACATGGCAGGCCCCATTGCCTCCTGGGAAGTGTAGTTTTCCTCCGGCTGTAGCCCGCCCGCTCGCCGAGCCGCGGACTACGCGCGCCCAGCTGTCCGACCTGGGAAAGTCTAGCGCTCTAAATCCCGAGGCGCTCTCGGGAGTCGCCGCTGTGCATCCTGGGAGTGGTAGTTCTCCTGGCTCTGGCGTAGAATGGCGGCGGGCCGGAGCCGGATGCCGAGAGAACTACACGCAGGAGGCGGGGTCCAGAGCGAGGGAATCCACAAGACTGGCAGTGGCGACGAAGGTTGTAGCGGCAGCATGAAGCGGACTCCGACTGCTGCGGAACGAGAACGCGAAGCTAAGGTATGCGGGCTCCCCGGAGGCTGGGGTCCTTCGTGTTCTGTGGCTCGGGGCAGGAAGCCGGAAGGACTAGGCTGGAGGGCGAGCGGACGCGCGGTCTGAAGCCAAGGCGTGGAAGGGCCTTGTCAGCAAGGGGCCAGACCCGGGGGGTTATACATTCGTGTGGCTCAGGATGCGGGCCTAGTCCTGTTGGATCAGCTCACAGATGGAAGACATCCATTTACTTACTTGTTCTGCACCTAAATCCTTGGCTAAACCTGCAGCCGCCCTTGTGCCTCAGTTTACGGGACTCAGACGACTGTGATTGTACCAGCTGTGCTTTCTCTTTGGTAATGATTTCTGAGGAGTGAGATCGGATGTGTTTATTTGGAACAGTTGTCTCAGTGGCCTGCTGATATGTTCTATGTCTTCAGCACAGCAGATAAGAAAATTTAACTACAGCCCTGTTATCTACTTTTGGGGTCCAGCCTCTAGTAGTTGCCATTCCATGGGACGAAAATAATAATTGCAATAGCGATTTTAAAATAGCATTTATTACATGTCAGGCTTGCGTTAAGTTCAATTATTTATATTATTTCATATTCTTACCACAGCAGATTGCAAGATAGATATTTATACAGATGGAGTGTCAACAGTCCTGTTTTACAGATGAAGACTTGAGGCCCAGAAGAATTGAGTGTTTTCTTTCTCTCATTCCCCAAATCAAGCCCTATTTGTCTAAATATATTGGTAATCTGTCTACATTCACTCTCTACCCTAACACCCTTTTGTCCCCTTCTTCCCCTCCTCCCACACAGCCAGTCTCTTCTCCACACTGTGGGGTGTGATCTTTTAAAAATGCAATCTAATCATGTTCATTTCCTCCCTCCCTCCTCTGCCAGCCACCTGTTTAAAAATCTTCCATGACTTTTTGTTGCTCTTAGCATCAAGACAAATATTCACATGGCCTTTCTGGTCTGGATCCTACTTGCTTCTGCAGCCTCTTGGACATAACATTCTCCTTGCTGTCTGCCCATCAGCCACTTTGGCCTTCTTAAAAGTCCCTCTTTTTGTTACTGAACTCAAGAGGTTCCCCCCTTGGGGTGTTCTATTCAAGAATGAGAGGTAGTTGATATTGGGTAGTTTTATTTACTTGTAGCAAGTAAAGGAAATGGGGTTCACATCCAAAGTTCTGTCTCCTGGAAGGGAGGCTTGGCCATTGCTTGTATCCAGATGAGTAATTACATGTTGATTTCTTCTTTGCATCAGGTTAGATTGGGTCCTGTCAAACTCATTGGTTGCAGCTGCATCTGCAAAATACTGTGCTATATTTTAACACTTAGCAAGAATAGCATTTAGTAAGAACCACCCAGACTTTGAGATGCTTGTCTTATCTAAGAATTCCCTGAGACTTTTTATTCCTCATTCCTGAAGGAGTGGAGATGAGGATCATACTTTTGTAACTGCTTCCTGCTGAACATTGACGGAGAGGGTCTCTGAGTAAGAAGAGTGAAATTCTGTAGCTGCCTGACTAATGAAGTCTTGGGGTCCCCTAGGTTCTGGGATTCCTGAGAACAGGAGTACATAAAGAGACAGTATTCAGGACAAAACGGTAGGAATAAGAGCAGACTTACTGGATATCGCATATCTTGGAGCAGCTTGAGGTCAGACAGGTTCACAGTACTTTGGATCTGGTTCCTTGTTCACTGGGTAAAATAGCAGGCTTCACTCAAGAGTGATGTGTCCACGAAGCTACATTTTGTAGTTTAAGAGAAGATTGAGTTATTAATAACACCAAATGAGAGCCTGTCCATATTGGGTTCATTTGATCGTGTGGAGATCCCAAGTTCCAGGTTTTTAAGTATACCCAGTTCCCTGGATTATGTAGGGCTGGCTTAGTATCTGTTGGTATAGGCAGCCTCAGATTAGCATTTTTATTTAAGTTTTCAGTTACCTTTTCTAATTGACTTAACAGATATTAGAAATAAGATTATAGCTGCAAGGGATCTCAGGAACAACAACAAAAAACGTAAGTTATGTTGGGGAGAGTCCATTTTACTGGGTTCCTCCTGCCAACCCCCAAATCATCTCCACGATTGAATCCACTCCAGCAATTATAACTCCTATTCCTCTTTTTACTTTTTGTTAATCCTCACCTGAAGATACTTTTTTCCATTGATTTCTTTTCTTTTTTAAGAGCGAGAAGAGAGAAACATCGATGTGAGAGAGACACATCGATTATGTTGCCTCCTGCATAACCCCAACTGGGGCCAGGGATCAAACCTACAACCCAGATATGTGCCCTTGACCGGTAATCAAACCTGAGACCCTTCGGTCCTTGGGTCCGCACTCTGACCACTGAGCCATGCCGGCCAGGGCCCTGTTCCTCTTTTTAACATTATGTGTAAGGCAGTTCCTCTGGTGTGCCAGCTCTGGCTCCATTTTAAAAGTGGCTCCATTTATATTATTATTTATATTTTTCCTCTTTTGATCAGTATCTTTTCTTGAAAGCATTCCTAATCAATTATCAGAAACCAGCACTGATCAATTATTAAAAGCATCATTGGTCTTCTATAATCAGGTGGCTCATTTTGAGTATTTCATGCCATTGTTGGTCTCTGAGGCCAGAAAGGCTCATTCCGGTTATATCATGTCCCACATAGGAGGGAAAGGAGTTTGTACTTTCCTTAGGAGCCTTAGACCACATTTGAGCAACAAGAACACCAGAACACAGGAAGGCTTTATCATCATGTTTCTTTAAGGGCAGGGCCTGGATTATATTAGCTCTAACTTTATTTTATCAGAGGTGTTTTATCCAAGTATAGAAGTTATGAACAACAGAGCAAACCTCACCTTGCTTAGCTAGAATGTGTTCAAGAGTAGTTCTCTTGTCTAACACTGCTGTGGTGGTCATTGTAATACCTGTTCAAGGAAGAGTATTCTTAAACATCTTCTGTAGTTTCTTATATGAAAATTTTATAGGCCTTAGTGATCATTTCAAACATTGAGCAACATTTATCAGAGTGGGGGCTCTTTAGAACATCGAGCTATGCAAACTAAAGATTTATAATAGCAAAAAATTTTATAATCACAAAATTAAGTTCAGTTTGAAGAATACATCTGAATCAAGAGACAATACGTGAAGGCATTCAGCTGAAGATATTAAATAACCATAAGGTGTTAGTGGGTACTGTGTTGTGCTAAATCTGGTAACTTTATTGGCACTGACATCACCAGGCCATAAACACCCAGGAGTTAATACCTTAAAATTTACTCACACATGGATTAGTTAAGAATACCTTAAGTTTTGTTTTTTAGAGTTTTCTCCATGAATCTTTCTGAAAATGAGACGTTGTTGTACAAACATTTTTGTAAAAGCATCAGAGTAAAACAATAATTATCCATAAATGACAAGACTTAAAAATGGTTAGAGTTCATATACATACACCTTTTTTTCGTTGTTAATCCTCACCCGAGAATATTTTTCCATTGATTTTTTTAAAAAATAGAGTGGAAGGAAGGGAGGGAGAGAGGGGGGGAGAGAGAGAGAGAGAAAGAGAGAAACATCAATGTGAGAGAGACACATTAATTGTGTTGCCTCCTGCAGGTGCCCTGCTTGGGCCTAGGGATCAAACCTGCAACCCAGGTATGTGCCCTTGACTGGGAATCAAACCCAAGACCCTGTGGTCTGTGGGCTGATGCTCTAACCACTGAGCAATACCGGCCAGGGCCATATACGTACATCTTGAGATCCCTCCTCTGTGAACCTTCTGCAGTGTATGCTCACGTTTTGCAATATGCACCTCCTTTTCGTAACTCACATATATCTTTCCTTTTTTGTCCTATCTTTTCTCTCCTCATTTTGACACAATCATGTTATTCTAGGACAAAATTATTTTCCTTTTTCTTTCTTCACCAATAAAACCCATGTCCTTTGTACTCTTACTTATCTAAAAAAACAGTCTCCTTTCCTTCAACAAGAGTGCATCTCTATTTCCCATACCCTCCTCTACCAAAAACATACAGCCTATTCTAAATATAATAAAAGGTTTAGCATCATTTATTTGACAGCGTTTCCTGTGTGATTTAGCATACCAAATAGGCCTAGTTATTTTAATTTCCCCTTTGTATCAAGAGTGAAAACAAGTCTTTGAGGTGTTTCAGAGATCCTTTTGAAAAACTCCAAAGTTCTTAAAAGTATCAAAGGTCAAGAAAATGACTCCTTAAATTTTGACTCTTGGGTATTTTATCAAACATCAAAAGTTTTAAAATATTTTCTAAATAAAATCATAGATAACAATACTTAAAAGTTATTCATTTAATCAAAGTGACAAAGATTTTACCAGCAAATACGGAAAGTCGTTAAAATTTTAATTTTTCCAGTATTAAGAAGATGCAGTGTACTTAAGTAATTAAAGACCTGATAATAAACAGTAACCTTTGTCTTCTTTTATAATTTCTTATTCAAAGCATACCAAAAATATAGGAGAATAACATTGTTTTGACTTTACATAAATACACTATTGATATTAAAGCGTAATTAAAAAAAAACTTCATACAAACAATTAGAATTTTAGCCAGCTTAATATACAGGGCAAGTTCTTCCTTTATTCTATTTTTTTATTTTATTTTATTTTTTTTAATCCTCACCCAAGGACATTTTTTTTGCATTTATCTTCAGATAGAGTGGGAGGGAGAGAGAGAGAGAGAAACATCGACGTGAGAGAGACACATCAAGTGGTTGCCACCCACATAACCCCAACCAGGGCCGGGGACAAGCTGCAACCGAGGTATGTGCCCTTAGCGGGAACTGAACCCAGGACTCTGATCCACAGGTCAAAGCTCTAACCGCTGAGCCAAACTGGCCAGGGCTTTTCTATTTTTTAAATTCTGAATTTTTAATCCTTAGCAACCTTAATTTTAATGACAACCAAAACCCTAAAATTTGTGAGTAATTTTATAACCTCTAGAAATATAGGTTCTCTGGCAAATATATTTCATATTTCTTAGAAACATGTATTTCC